CGATCCGACATCTGGCACCAGCAGCTACGACCTGCTACGAGACGCCCCCGAGCGTGGAAACACGCCTTCTGCGTCTTCTAGCGATACGCCACAGGTAGCGGCCCGCCGCGGACGTCTACAAGGCGTACCACCACCTCCAGACGCAGTCAACACAGGGGATCAACTACGTAGAGCTACAAGGAACCCTCTTGCCTCCACCGGCTCTGGGGCTCCACGACTACCCGACTGGACGAGATTTGACATCCAACACAGTCTACAGAGTCTCCGTAGTCACGAACCCCATGTTGTGAAAAAGGAACTCCGAAAACTGCATCTGCGATGGTATCATGCGAAGGAGCCAAAAATGAGGCTAATCCTCGAAAAGGTAGGGCTTGATAACGTTCGACTAAATATGATCAAGGAAGTCTGCGATGCCTGTCGGGAATGCAGAGCATGGGAACGTCCAGGAAACTCAACACTACCATCAGTAAGCCTCCCTGGCAGCTGGCTCGATGAAGGGGGAATGGACCTCATGTTTCACAAGAAACGGACCATATTTAATATTATGGATCGTTGTATTCGCCTGGCAGCAGGCCTTGAAATTTCCGACAGAGAACGCGACGCTATCATCGACGCCTACCACTACTGCTGGATTGCTTATCACGGACCCTTCAAAGTTTTATACTCAGATGGAGAAGGCGCCCTGAATAATGATGCCGCTAAAAGCATGATGGCCAATAAGGGCACGGAACTTCGTATCCGAGCACCTGGCCAACGCGCGACTTCAATTGAGTCACGAAACGGCATCCTCAGAGGTGTCCTCCATATGATTGAGGAAGAACTGAACAGACACAACATCCCTGTTGTATTCACTAGAGTCTTGGCGGAAGGCATCTTCGTTACTAATGCGTTCACGTTTTATAACGGAGTATCGCCATATCAGGCACACACAGGACGTCAGCCCTCCTTCCTTCCTGATCTCGATACCCTTGACTTTCCCAAGGGACCCGAGACTTCAGGACACGAACGAGAACGTCGTGTAAGGGAAGTCAGCCTAGAAGCTATAACTCAGGCTACTGCTGTAGCCAAGACAAATCGGGCTCTTAGGGCCAAGACGACTCCTGATGGTGCTCGCCTTTACTCATCAGGTGATTTGGTCGACTATCACCGACCTACTGCCACCAAGGACGACCATGGAGGCTGGAATGGCCCATTCCCGGTGATCCGAAATGTGCCTGAAAGAGGACATATCGTTGTCAAGGCAGGATCTCGTGAGGTAATTGTGATGTATCCTGATGCTCGTCACACACTATACATCGAATGTCTCCTCACACGGGAACTTGGCATGGATAACATGGCCATGCAAACCGTCCTTGCCTATGTGGCACATCTCAGTGCAGGGAAACCTGCCAAAGTTTTCGGGTATATTCCCGACTACAAGGGAAACCTTAACCTGTCAGACGATAGCAAGTTTCACCCGCGCGTACACCTAGCACTACAGTATCTCGTACGAAATTACTTCAGAGTGGAACATGTAGTAGCAGTTCGATTGGCTAAGAGTGTGTCAAGCCTACCTGCAGTAAAGTACGCCACCGGGTCTACGCTGATCCACTATGACAATGACATTAGCCCGGCGTTCCACTATTACGAATGTGTGGGCACCGGCCTAAACATCTCTCAGATTACTGGTAGCACTCACTCCAGACTTATTCAATGCTTGACTTCACGTGTCCCTTCCATAGGATTTCACGATGACCTGGCTAAATATCAGCATCCAAGCAACACGTCTGGAGAACACGAGTCGCCTGGAAACAGGCCTTCTCCAGACACACCAGATGCTTCATCGCCTAGCGAAGGCCGTCTGTCGACAATCTATGAGGAAAATGAGGAACACAATATCGAAGCCATGATGCTGGAAGAGTGGTACGACGAACTACGTATGGACCTTCATCCAACGACGATTACAGATGATGATCTCTATTGCGTCCCAACAACTATGCTGCCTAACCAATGCGTTTTGGTTTCAGCATTTGCGGACGAAGATGATATTACATCATCAGATTTGCTCGGAGACGAGCCTAAATCATGTGAGTCTTGTCTAGTATCTCTTTGTTCGAACACAAACGACGAGAGCTATTCCCTAGACAGTGATGAATATGGTCCTTACGTTGAACTATGCTTTACATCAGAAATGTCAAAAATAGTGTTGGATCAGACCCAACTTGCACAGCTCGATACCGATATGGTCGCAACGATGAGAGTATATGTATCCAATGCCGCTAAACGTGCTGTGGTTGTCAAAGAAGACGACCTACTGACCAAAGCCGACATAGCAGCACATCCAAAGGAGGTTAGTGAAGCCTTATATACTGAGCTCAAGATCTGGATTGATAACCGATGCTTTGAGATGTACGACTTATCCAAAGCTTCCAACATCATGACATCCAGATATGTATACAAGTGGAAGTTCGTAAAGATGGGCACCGAGAACGTTAAAACCATTCGTCTCAGATTGGTCCTTCGTGGATTTATGGATACTGAGGCCTTTGCTGTGGAAACATTCTCGGGAACCGCCCGAAGGCAGTCTCAACGACTCTTGGCAAGTGAAGCGGCATGTCATCCAGAGTGGATCTTAGCATCCATGGATATCGATAAGGCGTTCCTTAAAGGTTTTACTTACGAGGAACTTGCCCATGCCACTGGCGAGGAAACTCGCATGGTCTGCTTTACTCTTCCACCAGGAAGCGCTCAGGTACTTCGTACCCTACCCGGCTTCTCATCCTACGACGAAAGTCGACGCTGTCTTAGGTGCCTCAAACCAGGAACGGGTACTAAGGACGCCCCAAGAGCGTTCTCTCTCAAACTTCGTACGACCACACGAGCTATAGGACTTACACCGACTAGTTACGATCCTGAATTTGAATTCAGCCAAGATCTTCTGACTGCAAAACATGTCGATGACATTAATATGACAGGTCTAGAGAAAAATATCGACGACTATGTACAACGTGTCGAAAAGGTTTTTGGCAAATGCAAGCTCAACAAGCACACATATACGAACTGCGCCGTCCGCTACACTAAGAATGATCAGGGAGATGTGATCATGGACCAGGACGAGTATATCAAACAACTACGTCCTATCACACATCCAGAACTTACAGGAGCGGCGGCCGACGCCAAAGCCACGAAACTTTATTACCGACATGTTCGTCAGCCTGCGAGGAGCCCTCGCCTATGCCCTTCTTACTCAAATCTGGCTTATGGTATATGTGGTCTCTCTTCAGAAAATTCAAGAGCCCACCAATTTACAAGTCAGACGTTTGAATGCTGTGACGCGAAAGCTGATCAGCAGTCCGAAACGTATCACCTTCCCTCGGATGAAGCCGACGAATGAAGTCGACATCCATAGCGATTCGGGATATCGGAAGCTTACCGGGGAGGAGGATGACGAGACCAAGGGCTACGGCATACGCGGGGCCAACGTACTACGGCGAGGAAACTCGCCTCAAGGCAAGTCCGTCGTTCACCTCTGTGACGGACTATGCAAATCACACCGATTACAGGTGAGGTCCAGTTATGTTGCGGAGGCACTTGCAGCCGCACATCACCTTGATGAGTGTTACCCTACGCTCATTACTCTCCATGAGCTTAAGGCAGGGGCCTTGACTCCACGACAACTACGAAATATGCGTGAAGTCGGAGGCCTTGCTATCAAAGTCTCTCTGACCATAGACGCTGAGTCCGTCTACAAATCTTTATCAAGCAGGGATCTCAAAATACCCACAGAACGGACTCAGCTTGGACATATCAGTTGGATACGTGAGCTTATGGATATAGGTACAGTACATAACGTGCAATGGTGTGATACTAGGGATATGACCGCAGATGGGCATACAAAGGGAAGCATCGATCGGGAACTGCTTCTGGAAGTGATGTCAGGCACTCAGTCATTTAAGTATGACGAGAAGCAATTTGTTCCCTTTCGGGGTCCCGAGGACAGAGACAAACCTAAGTCTAATCAATTTTAGTCTGTCCTTGTTGCCCTCGTGGTCCAGTTTGCCAGCACGGGCGCCTACTATAAAGGCGCCCCTCTAGTTGCTCGGAAACGAGCCTCATATTTCACGCCTGGCAGCGAGCCGGCTTCATACAACTCAGGCTCTTTGCCTTAAATACACATTTGCTTGGTGAGGTATGGCCTAATTTTGGCCTACCTCTAACTAGGCCGATAGCCCTTCATTATTTGAAGGGGCTGTTCTGTATTTGCGTGAAATACTTCGCGAGGAAACTCGCCTTACAGTCTGGCGTTTGGCCAGTCTGTACGCACTGTTTTCATTTCTTTGCAAACAGTCGTGCGCGCGAATTTGCGTGCGACTATGCTCTCCGTCTCCTCCCCTCCCGACTTTGAGGGTAGCTCTTTGGGATATGTTATAGTATCGGGAGCATAGCTCGCGCGCCGCTGCCTTGGGCTCAAGGCACGCGCGCCCTATTTGCCCGGACACTGCTTGTGTTCGCTATGTGCTGGAAAGATCATTACATCGATCTTATCCTATCTTACCCATCCACCCCTCATACTGTACCCTCACAGCAGAGCGATGGATGCTATTTGCCAGGCTATATGCCCTATTTGAGTTACCAGGCTCACTTTCGACTCAATCTGCTATTGCTGTGTTTTGTCATTGTTCATTCTTTTCTGGTAAGGCCCGAGCTTAATCTTCTGTATCCGCCTTCCTACTCCATGCTTTCACTTACTTCTTCCGACCGACGTGACCGGGGCCTTCTGGTCCCAGAGGTCGTGCAACCACTCCATGGGCGATGCCCCGTCCCGGAGCGCCGCCACGCCGTTGCCCACGTACGTCGAATCCGAGATAATTGCCACCTGCCCACCAGCCAGCCCAAGCGTGTGCATAGCAGTAGTGAGCTTCTCGCTCTGCGCTGCCTGCCCGCCGTCGACAGGGCCCCCGCGCTCCAGCGTGCCAGCAGGGAATGCTGCGCGCGCCTCCCCAGCCGGCCCTGGCCAACAGAGGGTCGGCTGGGTCCACGCAGGCGCAATCGAACCACGCCCGCATCCCTTGGCATGCTGCCCTCGCAGCAGCAGCTTCCCGGCTGGGCAGCGCCGGCAGCGGCAGCGGTCACATCGCCTGGTCGGCCAGAGCCTCCAGGCGCGCGCGCCGCGGCAGGACGCCCGTCAGGGACCTGGCGGCAAGCAGCAGGCCCGCTGCGCTGCTGGGGTGAGCCTGGCTGCCGCGAAAGCACCGTGTCTCGCTGAGTCCCAGGGCAGGCAGTCCCCAAAGCGGTGCCTGGCGTCCTCCAGCGGCGCGCCGCAATGTGGGCACTTCGCGGGGCGGCGTCACCGAGGGCAGCGTGACTCGTACCCCCAGGTGTGTCTTGTGTTTGCGCGACATATGATTCGAAAAACCATCATCAGAGTATATGAGAATCAGGGGGATGATGGGGAGGAGTGAGAATAATGATGACGATGAAATTGGTGACGATGACAATGACAAAGATGATGACGATGACGACAAGCCGCACCCTGGGCCTTCGGTGACTCATGCCGGGAGGATGTGCCGAATTAGCCATACAGCTGAGGATGAGGAGGATGAGGAGGAGGGATGAGGATGAGCTCCAGGGATGAGAAAGAATCTGATGAGAACGGGTGGGCAGGATGTGGACGAATAGCGAAACGTCTTATGGTCATGCTGTCGGCGACGATATTGATGAGTATGATCGTGTTGAGGATGATTGCGTTGATGGTAGGCGCGAGGAGGATGAGGTTGGTGAGGATGACGGCGGTGGTGATGTGGATATTGATGATGATGGTATTCACAATGGTGGTTCTATTACTGATGATGATGATGACGAGGATGATGTTGGATGCTGATGGTGACGTCGGTGGTGGTGATGCTGACGTGGTGACGTTTATGGTGCTGTTGCTGCTGATCAAGTCTAGGAGACGTACACCAGGGAAATGTTTGGTTTTTGCAATGCAGATGCAGATGCAGGCAATGACGATGGAGATGGAGAAGGATACGGATATGGAGCTTGATATGGATGTTGTTTTGGAGATGATGGTGATGCTGATGATGCTGATGATGCTAATGATCTTATGATGGGGATGATGGTAACGATGCTGATGATGAGGAAGGAGAAGCTGATGATGCTGATGATACTGATGATGATGACGGTGCAGTTGGTGGTAATGATGATGAACATGATGGTGTTGCTGCTGCTGATGATGATGACGCTGTTGTTGATGACGATGCTGATGCTGATGATGATGCTGATGTCGATGATGATGGTGGTGGGTGATGATGATGATGATGGTGATGATGATGATGATGATGATGATGATCGTGATGATGATGCTGCTGATGATGATGATGATGATGATGCTGCTGATTATGCTTATGATGGGGATGATGATGATGACGAGGATTAATTTGCTGCTGATGGTGATGGATGATGAGGGTACTGCAGGTGATGATGGGCATGGTGATCAGGATACTGGTGTATGATGACGAGGAGGATGAGGACACTGAGGAGGAGGAGGCATACGATGACGATTCGAGGTTGGTGACAATAATGACAATCATGATAATGAGGGGATTGTGACGATGATGATGCTGATGATGGTGGTGGTGGTGATGATGATGACGATGACGTAGATGATGCTGATGATGCTGATGGTTCTTCTTCTGATGATGACGACGACGGTGGGGATGAGGATGATGATGACGCTGATGTTGATGGTGATGATGATGATGATGATGATGATGATGATGATGATCATGATGATGCTGCTTATGATGATGATAATGATGATGATGATGATGATGATGATGATGATGATAATGATGCTGCTGCTGATGATGATGATGACGGTGATGCTGATGATGCTGATGATGATGACGATGACGATAATGATGCAAATGATGATGATGATGATGATGATGATGATGATGATGATGATGATGATGCTGATGCTGATGCTGATGCTGATGCTGATGCTGATGCTGATGCTGATGCTGCTGATGATGATGACGATGATGATGATGATGATGCTGATGATGATGATGATGATGATGATGCTGATGATGATGATGATGATGATGATGATGATGATGATGATGATGATGATGATGATGATGATGATGATGATGATGATGATCATGATGATGAGGAGGAGGAGTATCAGTCCTTGGCTCCATGGACAGAGATGGTCGAGACGCATTGTATGGAGAGGAGGGGTAGGAGGAGGAGGACGAGGAGGAGGAGGAGGAGGACACCTGATGACGATGTGGGAGGGGACGATGCGTGTGAGATGAGGTGGACGAAAGCTGGTTGGTGGGGATGAGGAGGAGGAGGAGGAGGAGGAGGAGGAGGAGGAGGAGGAGGAGGAGGGATGAATAGAGGAGTCGATGGTTGCGAGCAGAAACAGACGGGTCACACTGGGTTGAACCCGTCATCGTCGCCGCCGCCGTCGTTGTCGCCGTCTCCGGTGACGCCGCCGTAGTCTCTGCCCCTGTCGCCGTCGCCAGCGTTGCCGCCGTCGTCGCCGCAGGTGGGAGGGTTCGCCGCCCTCGCCACTTTTGGCTACCGCTGTCGCCGCCGTAGTCTTAAGTCGGGCATGTCCCTCTACAGGAGGAATGTTCAAGAATGCTTTACATAGTCTGGCGATGATTGTTTGTTTACTTGTTTTGGCTATTGTTTTGACTATTGCTATCGTTTTGACTATTTCTCATCTTCTTTCAAAATCCGCCAGTAGGAGGACATGCCCGACCTAAGGCTACCGTCGTCGCCGCCGTAGTCATCGCCCGCTAGTGCAGTCGTCGCCGTCGCCCGCGCTCGAGGAGGTCGTGTCCTTTGCGAACGCGCAGGACACCCGTGCCGAGGCCCAGAGCCCCCGCGCCCGCCGTTGCTCCGCGTGGCGCTGCACCCGCCACAGCTGCTGTTGTCCAGGTCTTGCATCGCCGGTGCGGCTCGATGCGGAGCTCGATTTTTTCCACGCCGACGACACCGATGCATCGCCGTCTTCGCGGATGCATCGCCGATGCATCGTCGATGCATCGGTGATGTATCGGCGATGCGGCGCGATCTTCCGACCCCATCTACTCGGGCCCCATCTAGGAGGCCTCTATGTTGGTCCTCGACGGCGCGCATATTTTCGTTCGTTCTTTCCTCCTTGTCGTTCGTTTGTTTTTTCTGTTTTTGTCTGTTCGTTTTTTTGTTTTTTTGTTCGTCCTTCGTTCGTTTCTCCGTTTTCTTTGTTCTGCCGCTTTCAGAAGTCGCCGCCGCCGGGCGCAGGTCGAGATGGTGGGCAGTTGTCAGGCTTGGTCCTCGGCAGCGCGTCCCCTCTGGTGTCCCATCTGGAAGGGTGCTCGCGTGAAACTCTATGTTCCTGGGACCACAGGGGCATCCATTGACCCAGCAAGGCCTGCACGGCCTCACCCCCGTTGACAGGTAATGCAACATCTGCAGCGGGGATCGAAAACTGGCAGCTGCGATCGGTGAAGGCCTGGCGAGAGTACGCATGCGCAGCCTTCCCTCCACGCTCAACTTCCTCCTTCGACCACTTCTGCCACCTGCTGAGCCCCTCCTTGATATCCGTCCTCCTCAACTCCTCGACGTACCTATCAAGCTGCTGGATATGCTCTGTACACCTCTCGCCGTTTGCTTCGATGGAGCCGATGAGGTCTCGAACGAACTGCTGATCCAGCTGGCCGTGCTGGCAGAGCAAGCTGGGGACCATGCCCTCTAGCCTGGCGGGCCACCGCTGCCGTCGAGCCCTGCCTGCTGAACTTAGGCCGCTGGATCCTGCGCTTGCTACTCGGGAGGCCGAAGTCTGGAACGACATCCACGCTGTGTCCCGCTCTGCATACCTGCGTCGAGCCTCCAGATCCCAAACAGTCTCCAAGGGGGCCTTGACCGTCTTGGGCCCCTGGGCCCTACCGCAATAGACGTCCCGAGAGTCCCCGTCGATGTCGTGAAGCCCACCAACCAGTTTTCGGCTCTCGTGAACAACTCTTTGATCTTGAAGCCCAGTGAGGCACCGCTGGAGTCCCCGAGCTCCCAATACCACTCACTCCTCCTCCTTCAGCCCCTTCCTGGGTCCCACGACGGGCTCCAAGGGAAACCGCTTGAAGTGGATCTTCTTAGTGGCTAGCTTGGTCTGGGAGAGCCCCTCGAGGAACGGACGCACAGGCGGTTGCGGAGAGATCGGGGCATCGTGGAAGCACGTGACCTCCGAGACGCAGTGCCCTAGCACGCGCGCGCCGACAAACGTGTCAATCTCCTTCTTCCATAATTTTCCTTGCCTCCCTGGCCCCCAGGCCCGTCAACTCCCCCTCCGGCATCGCCAGCTCCACTGGCAGCTGCCGACCTGCAGGTGGGCTGTCCTAACGGAAAATGGCACCGCAGACGCGATCAAGCCAGCCGTTGGCCGCTAAATCAAAAGGAGTGAAATTCCAATCTGCCTGAACGACCCACGGACTCTGGAAACTGTTAACACATGGCCCCAGACACCGAAGCATATCCAGATTGGCCCCTTTCAGCCCCCAGTCAGGTCCCCTGGTGTACATGCCGACGACGCAATCGACTGCTCCCAAGACCACTCCTGCTGCATTCATGTTGGGCCCATTCCCCGTCGATTCGGCAGCGCCAAAGCTCAAAGCCCACTGCCTGTGCTTGCCCCGGCTGTAGGCCTGGTCTAACTTGGCACTCGTCTTCAGGCGTGTCTCCTGCCCGCAGATCACCTGCGGCTGCAGCGCGACCCCGCGGGCATCCTGGCCAAAGATAGCACCAGGTTGGTCCGAGCACCAGTCGATCACAGACTTGAACGACTCCCAGCTGTTGGCACTGGTCCTGATGAGGGTGACCTGGCCTTCGGTCGAGGTCTGCCCTCCACCCCCGACTGCGCGCTTCGCCTCGCCGAGCCCGACAGCATCATCGATGTTCCAGGCCCCGAAGATGGCGACGGCGAAATCGAAGCCCTGGGCCTCAGCGGCGCCGACGGCTCAAGCGGCGACGGGGGCCTCGCCGATCCACCCGTGGCAACCGACGAGGAGGGCCTCCCTGGACATCTCCGACTGCGTGCCGTCCCCGACCCTGTCGCACCCGAGGTCGCAGTGGCCGCCCTTGCCGTCGTTGAGGCTGGCGGCAACGGGGGGAGGGGGTTGTGACCGTGCGGGGCTGAATCCTGCCCCCCCCCCTCCCCCGTGGGCCGCCGGGCCAGCCGCTCCTCGCCGAGAGGGGGCCACTCGGCAGGGTCCGGCGCCCTGCCGCCGCCAGCCTCGCCGCCTCCCCCAGCACCGTCTGCCTGCAGCCGACGCCTCAGCGGCCCGCCCGCGCCGCCAGGCTGGTCCTCCTCACTGGAGCGGTCATGTGTGGTTGCCCCTGGCTCGGGGGCGGGGTGCTCGGGTGCCCCCGGAGCTGCTCCCGCCCCCGCCCAGGCCAACACGCCGCCCCTCCAGTCGGCTGCGGACCCGCCCACGTGGCTCCTCCAGCAACGGCGCGCTCCCCCGACCGCGCGCCGACAGCGGCCCGAGGGCCCGCGGCGCACGGAGGGCCCGCAGGCACCACAGCCGACAGGCCAGCCCTCGGGCCAAGCGTCCGCTCTGGTCGGCACGCTGGGACGGCGAATCTCGTCAGCGCCGCCCAATCTTCGTCAACGCGGTTCGCCTCCCAGAAGCGTCAGACTGCCGACAGGGTCGTCGGGCTAGGGCGGCGACGCTCGCCGTGCTCTCTTGATGCCGAGGCCCACCGCGGCGTCCAGGTACTTGCGCTTGGCCGCCTCCAGCACCGCAGGCTCTGCCTCTCGAGCTCGGCGGAGCTGCTCGGCAGAGCTCATCGACAGCCTCAGTGCATGCCCGCTGGCGGTCGGCGAAGTCGTCGCTGCCCGGCAAGTCCATGTCCACGTCCTCGGAGTCGACGGGCACATTGATGTGGTGGTCCGCTCCAGCTGCTGCGCCTCCGCCGCCAGGGGTCCCACCAGCACCAGGGCCAGCCGCGCCAGCAGCTTCGCCATGCCCATCGTCTGGAGACGCAGCGGCCTCGGACCTGGCCTGGGCGGCTGCCAGCTGGAGGCGCTCCAGCGTGGCAAGCGCGGCCTGGCCCTCGGCGGACTGCGCGATGCAGTCGTCCAGCGTGGCGCTGACTGCCTTGAGCGGGTTGGAGAGCTCCTCGGCCTGCAGCCGCAGGCAGGCCGACTCTGCATTGGCCAGCTCCTCCATGCATGCCATTGCCGCCGCAGTGACCTCCGCCAGGGACTTGTCAAGCTCCTCCCTCTGGTCGCTGAGGGTCTTGGCCTTGCCGTCCAGCTTGGCCAGCTTCGCCCGCAGGTTCTCCACCTTCACCGCGCGGAGCGAGCCGAGGGGCCTTGGCCGCAGTGACCTGCTTGGCCTTCCCCGCCTCCTCAACTCCTGCTGTGTCGACTCCCTCCCGCTTGAGGAACAGCAGCACCTCCGCGAACGCGAGCTCCTTCCCACCGGACGAAGACTCGGAAGGCGAGGCACTGGAAGCCCAGGGCGGTGCTTTGCCCTCGAGCGCGGCCAGCTTCGCCCGGAGCTCGCGGATCTGCTTGGCCTGCGCATCGCCACCCGCGCCGCCGCCACCTTGCGCCGTCCGCGGTGGGCTTGCGGCCCAGGCTCCCCGCAGTGGCCCGCGCTGCCCGCCACTGGGCACGAGCTTTGCCGCCGCTGCGCGCGCTGCCTGGGCCACAAGGGCGGGCGCACTGGCCGCGCAGCCCCTGCACTTGAGCCGCGAGGCCCAGTTGTCCCAGCAGCCGCACGAGGCACGAGGGGCACCCCCACAAGGGCGTCTTGGCGCCTGGGAGGACATCGGGCGGCGGGGGCCCCATGCGTCGCTGGCGGCGACGGCTGGGGCGAGCATTGAAACCAAAGTGGCTCGCAAGCACGAGCCGCTCTGCAGCACGTGCTTGCAAGCGCAGCGCCATAACGGCCTGCGCCAGAACGGCTTGGAGGAGGAGGAGGAGGAGGAGGAGGAGGAGGAGGAGGAGGAGGAGGAGGATAGGATAGGATAGGATAGGATAGGATAGGATAGGACCGATCGCGAAGCGAAGTAACGACACCTAGCCACAGTACGACACGAGCAGCAGCGACGGCGGCGGGGGGCGGGGGCGGCGGTCCTTGAAGTTGAGGTGCAGGCGCGCGCACGCGTTGCGCCGCGCGCCGCTCCCTACCTTCCCGCCGACCCCCATCTTGTCCCCCTGCCGCAACGTCATCCCTCTCGGTCTCTGACAAGGCTACCTCAAACTACTTCTATTTGGGCCATTTGCCCTCTCTTATGCGATTCAAATATGACGTGCGGGGCGGGGTCAGCTTCTGGGGATCGCAGACACCTGAGAGAGCCCTCAATTGTTGACTGCCGAAACACCCGCACCCTTTGCTAAACCAAAGCTTCAATTCTTTGTGATATAACATCTGATGGGATCGGTGGGTCCACCCCCCTCCCACATGGATCCTCTGGCCCTTCGGCAATCTTAAAAGCTTGGCATCCTGGGGGATTAATTCCACACAAGGGCTACACCGCCAGCTGGTGAGCTCAGCCTGTGACGAGCTACCGAAACAACGCTGGCAACTTTTTCCATTCACGGACAGAACATGCGACGAGGCGAAGAAAACCACAGCAGCAGCCGAAGGAGGGACCTGGCGGTTTTTCTTGTCAACCTGACGCTCTTTATCCTCGGCCTGCACAGCCTCCAAATTCGCTCTCAACAGCCGACGTCTGACAACACGAGCTTTGCATTCAGCTTGCAACACGCGAGTGCGGGACCCTTGATCCACTCTCGCTTCGGAAGCTGCCAACGAGGCCAGTTCATCTGCAGCTGTGTTCCCCAACGCTAGCCACTGGTGGGTCTCACGTTGGGTGAGATCGGCAGCGGTGAGGTGGGATGGGGAGGTGAGGAGGAGGAGGAGGAGGAGGAGGAGGAGGAGGAGGAGGAGGAGGAGGTGGGAGGGAGGAGAGGAGGGAGGAGGAGGGAGGAGGAGGAGGAGGAGGAGGGGAGGAGAGGGAGGGGAGTGGAGAGAGGGAGGAGGGAGGGAGGGGAGGAGGGAGGGAGAGAGTACGATGAGGAGGAGGAAGAGGAGGAGGAGGAGGAGGAGGAGGAGGAAAAGGAGGAGGATGATGAGGACTGCCAAGTATACTACAGGCTTTCAGGGCGCCTAAACCCATCTTTAATGATGAGGCGACCCTCAGAGTTCAGTGATGCTCGACCGCTTGGAAGTCTCATTCTTAAATTCCTGAGCGTGTGTAGTGCGATGGTACTCGCATGGGCTAGGACCGAGGTGGCATGCGAACGCGCCCCTTACAATGCGGAACGTGCGTGCTCCACGCTCTGGTTAATGAGCCCTCTGGTGTGGTCAGCACGCCGAAGGCTCAACCCCATGATCGCGCAAGGCACCCGCGAGCTCGAGGATACAGTTTTTGAGGGCAATAGGTCGGTCCAGGAGTGAGCCCGTCCAGACCGTTACGCCCGACCGTCTGCTCAAGGACTCGGGGAAGCACCCGAAGGCTCAAGTCGGGTTTAGGACCTCATGCAAAACACCGGCGAGCCTGAGGATAGAGTTTTTTGGGGGGTACCAGGTCGGTCCAGGAGTGAGCCTGTCAAGACCGTTACGCCCGACCATCAACCCAAGACAGAGTAATAGGTCGGTCCAGGGATGATCCCGTCCAGACCGTTACGCCAGACCGTCTGCCCAAGAGCTCGGGCACACCAAAGACTGAAGACGGATTGACCTCTTGCCACAAACCCGCGAGATCGAAGAGACGTTTTTTTGGGGCAAAATGTCTGTCCAGGGGTGAGCCCGTCCAAATCGTTTCGCCCGACTGTCTCCCAAGAACTCGGGGAGTCCCCATCCAGGACAACGCCCCAGCCACCCCGCAGCCCGCCGCACAATACGGCAAGCGTATAGCACAGCCCCCGCGGTCCACCGTGTGCTCCGACGATTTTTTTTTTATCGTGCTAACAAAACACCCTTCACCTTGAGCAATAAGCTTGTAGCTGATGTCCTGCTGCACGCTGATCTCGCACAGCCGCATCACGACTGCGAGGCAAGATTCTACAGGAGAGGGGGGGGGGGAAACGATTTGTTAACACCCTTGTCCGGCGGACAATTTCGTGCCCGCACGCGTTCCTCAAATGTACGTGTGAGTGCAGGAGGAGGAGGAGGAGGAGGAGGAGGAGGAGGATGGAGCGAGGGAGGGAGGGAGGGAGGGAGGGAGGGAGGGAGGGAGGAGGAGGAGGAGGAGGAGGAGGAGGAGGAGGAGGACGAAGGAGGCTGATGACTCAGTTGGCCCTCTTCCGAATCGGCCAGGCTTGGACGCCGATCCTGAGCCCAGGATCGGCCTGGATTCAACGAAAGCGGCACTCCTGGATCACGATCTGCTCTCAGCGCCTCGCCTCGTCAGCAATTTTGAAGGGCCTCCTTTTGCCTTCCTCTTTCGGGGGCGGGGTGGAGCCCAGCCTGCCTCGCACGCCCTCCTGATTCGTGCCTCTGCCGCCGACGTCGGAACGGCCTGTAGATACTTGGCGCCCTCCGAGCTTGCGGTCCGAAGTTGGTCGGCGGCGAGCCCGGGGGGGAAGTGAGAAGGGGCGGGCCTTCTCAGGAGACCCGGAAGCCCCCTGGCCTTTGAGAAGTTTCTGAGCCTTCCCCGAAGGAACAATTGGCTGCTCAAGAGGCCGCAGGCCCTCTGAGAAGTCCCGCCGCCCTCTGAGGAGGCCTCCTCCTCCTCCTCTTTTCACTTCCCCTCGCTCGCTCGCCGCCGCGCTGGAGATGCCGCGTCCCTCCGAGGCGCCCCCTCGAGACTCGCACGGGGGGCCCCCAGGGGGGCCCGTGCTCGTGTCCGGCCGCCCTCGGGCCCCTGCTGGGGCGCTCGCGGCAGCACTGGGCGGTGCCCGCGCGCCGGGTGCGCCTTTGGCCTCACCGTCCGAGCGCCCGTCGAAGCCGCTCGGGCGCCAAGGGCCCTCGAAGGCTCTGCAAGCAGAGCTCCTCGGGGCCCGGTCGGAGCGCTCTCGAGGCCGCTCGGGCCGTCTCGGAGCGCTCTTCAGGCCGCCTCTGGCCCTCTCGGAGCGCATTCGAGGTCATCCGGGCCCTCTCGGAGCGTCTCGAACCTTCTCGAAAGGCCGCAAAGGGTCATGCGACTTTTCAAAGGCTGCTGAGTAGGTTCGTCTCCCTCGTTTCCCTTCCTCTCTGCCTTCCTCTCCTCTTCCTTGCAATCGGGTGGTCCCCTTCCTCGACGCCCTCGCTGTCCATTCTCCGTGACATCATCGTGGCCACCCAGCTCACATCGCGAGGCCACCTCATCTGCCACTCGAGATTCGAGATTCGATTGCTTTTTGTTTTTGATGGTGGGGAAAGCGTGCTGTTTGTCTCTGGAGGCCTCGGAAATTTCTGGGAACCTCACGATGCCTACGCCGACCTCCGGAGAGGTCGCAGGGACCCCGAGAGCTGCGGCATGTCAGAGCAGAGACTGTAATTACGTATTTCGTTCACCGAGCACCAGCAGTGCTTGTGGATTACCGGACTTGGGGAAAGTATCACAACATTGTGTTTGGAGTATTGCAAACCGGCTGTATCAGAAGGCAGTGTTTAACAAGATCTGGGCCTGGTTGCAGTATCCTCAGTCTTGCAATTTGTCGTAAACCGTGCATCGATAAGATCACACATAGCAGTCTGCTCGCGCTCTATCGCTCTCTCTCTCTCTCTCTCTTTTTTTCTCTCCTTCTCTCTCTTTATATCGCGTAGGTGGCGGGGACGAAGCTCGAGAGCATTCAGCCGCACTCGCCAGAAGGCGAGCGCGGGGGGAGCAGTGCACATGAGGATGAGGAGGGAGGAGTGAGAGGAGTGTGAGGAGGATGCTGGGGAGGAGGCGTTGGGAAAACGTAGGTGAAGGTGGGGACGGGTATGAGACGCCGGAGGTTGGTGGAGGCAGAGGAGGGAGTCGAGCGGACGACGACGCGATCGGTTGCTGGGGAGGGATGGAGATGGCTGTCACTCGCGCCTCAAGAGTTTCTCTTGCTCTGACCCCTACGCCTGAAAGACTCGTTACGTCCGCCAGTCCGCTCCCCGCTCGCCCCACTTCTCCCCCTCCGTTCTCCCGCCTGGCCCATAGGGGGCCCACAGAAAGCTCCCGCGAAGGCGCCCGCATGTGCCCTTCGGCCTACATCGGCACACCCCTCACGTGTGGCGCCAGCGTGCGCCCACCCGCCTGTTTCGGTACACCGCCCACATGGGTCGTGCCTGGCTTGCTCCAGCCGTGAATTCAGGCATCGGTGCTCCCGCGTGCGCGCGGGAGCCTGGGGGGGGACGAGTATTACTGCAGGCCGACGGCTGGGCGCGAGGCGTGCTCCCTGGCAGTTCTGCCGTGTGGCACTAGAGAGATGTAGGGGTAGATCAGCACTAACAAAACAAGAGACGATGATGATGATGATGATGATGATGATGATGATGATGATGATGATGATGAAAATGATGATGATGATGATGATGCTGATGATGATGATGATGATGATGATGCTGATGCTGCTGCTGCTGCTGATGATGATGATGATGATGAGGATGATGATGATGATGAGGATGGTGATGATGAGGATGATGAGGATGATGATGATGATGATGCTGATGATGATGATGATGATGCTGATGATGATGACGACGATGATGATGATGGTGTTGATGATGCTGCTGCTGATGATGATGCTGATGATGATGCTGATGCTGCTGCTGCTGATGATGCTGATGATGATGATGCTGATGATGATGGTGATGATGATGGTGATGATGATGCTGCTGATGATGATGCTGATGATGCTGCTGCTGATGATGATGATGATGACGATGACGATGACGATGATGATGATGATGATGATGATGATGGTGATGATGATGATGATGATGATGATGATGATGATGATGATGATGATGATGATGATGATGATGATGATGATGATGATGATGATGATGATGATGATGATGATGATGATGATGATGATGATGATGATGATGATGATGATGATGATGATGATGATGATGATGATGATGATGATGATGATGATGATGATGATGATGATGATGATGATGATGATGATGATGATGATGATGATGAGGTGGGTAGCGCCTCATCCCCGGAGCCCCGCTGGGTTAGGGGCGGGGCGAGGGCACGACGGAGTAGAGCGGAATTACGCCCTTTCGCGCGGCGAGCCAGAGAGTGAATAGAGAGAGGGAGGAGGGGAGCAGGATGGGAGGGAGGCGGGGGGGGGGGAAAGGGGATGGAGGCGGGAGAGGGGATGGGGGAGGGAAGGCAGGGAGGCGGGGCGGGGGAGGAGGGGGCAGGAGGGAGGGAGGGATGAGCATACCGATCGATCGCCCCGGTCGCCCATCGTCCCCGGGCAGCCCATCGCCCGCCTGGCAACCTCTGGCCTCGGAGGCGGCGCGCCGCAGCAGCCGCCGCCGCAGCGGCCGCAGCCCCAGTACCAGCAGGAGGCGCCCCAGCCGGTGGGGCGCGAGGGGGGGGGGGGGAGGTTGATGCACTCGGGGGCGGCCAAGGCGGGGGCCATGATATCTCCCCAGATCTCATGTCGCCTCTTCTTATTTCATTACGCTCCGCCCCCCCCTGGGCCGCGCACGTGCCGCCGGCCATGATGTGCCCCCCCCCCTCTTGGACGCCCCCCTCTTGGACGCCCCCGATGCACAGCTCACATGGACGATCGAAATGGGTACTGAAAGAATGGGCACAAAGACCAGCAGCATTTCCTGTTCATTCTGAAGAGGATTCGCTGTCGGTGCCGCCGCGGGCCGTGTCCATTTGAGAGAAGACTGCCTGCCCATCTGTCGGTGTTGGTCAACATTGGTTGTTGGTCATCGTGCCCATGTCGGGCGTCCAAAGTTCATACGCAGCTCATAGACAGCTCAGCACAGGCGGGAGAGAAGGGTTTGCAGCAGGGCTGTTCCACTCCTCCGCAGCCATTTGCTGCAGAGGCCCCACGGAGGGCTGTGCTGGCAGCACGCACGTTTGCACAGTACAAAGTTCAAGAGCGGGGTGAGCTCCAGGAGGGAGCGGACATCATGGCTGGAACCATGCTACCTCCCCGGGTTTCATGGCCCCTCTTCTTGTTTCAATCAATGCGTGCCTCGGTGCCCCCCCTCGTCCGCGCACATGCTTTGGGTCATGGGTTGCGAGCCCCGCTCTTGGTCGCCCCCGAAGGGGGGAGGCAGAGGGACGAGGAGGAGGACGAGGAGAAGGATCAGGAGAAGGAAAAGGAGAAGGAGGAGGAGGAGGAGGAGGAGGAGGAGGTGGTGGTGGAGGAGGAGGAGGAGGAGGAGGAGGAGGAGGGGGAGGGGGAGGGAGAGGGATGGCTCGATCCTCGCGCTTCGGGGCTTCTGTGATCTCTTCCAGCCTATCTTCGGGCCTCGTGTGGGGGGGGGCGGCTCTTCGTGGCCATGGCTGGGCTCGCTTTGAAATTCTGGTCGGAGCGCACTCCTGCACAGGCGGGGGGAAGGTTTTCGCGGAGCGGAGGAGGATGGTCAGAGTGAACCCAGAATGTATCAACCATGCTGCGACATGCCCTCTTGTCCCAGGTCCCCTCCTCATAAGTCCATGCACGCCTTCCTTTCCAGTGCACTTGGCGCCTGCTTGAAATAGGAGCACCTGGTGGGCCTGTCAATCAGGCGAGAGGTCCGCTTTGGAAAGCAACTGGCTTTATAAGGAATGCAAGCATGTTGGATCATAACGCTCCACGAGGTGTCCAGAGAGAAAGAGAGAGAGAGAGAGATAGAGTTCAACGAGGCGTCCCTGTTCTTGCAACCCTTGCACACGTTTGCCCTCGTGGTCGTTTTGTGTTTAGTACGTCTCAATCGAGGACACCCATGTTAAAGCATATCCGCCCTCCATCCAAAGCTTCCGGTCATTACACTACAATAGCATCACAAGGATTTCCACTGTGAAACGAACACTCTCCCATCCTTGTAAGTGTTGCAATGGTTTAGAGATGAATGTTTGCCGTGCAACGGCGAGAGTTCTACTTTGAAGATCAAGAGCCCTTCGTCGTGACAACGGCTGCAAGCTTTACAGACGACTATTCGCGGCGCTACGGCGAGAGAGCCACCCAGAAGACCACCCGCCTTCCAGTATTGCAATTGCTGCTAACTTTTAGACGAATATGCGCGTCGCTGAGGCTCGCGTCTCATGTTGGGAAAGAACGCGCCCTCCATCGTTGCAGCTCTGGGATGTTCCAAGTCACAGGAGCGTACATGGTGAAGACGCCTGAGGAGAAACGCCTGGTCTGCCCACCGATTCGCCTGGTGGTAGAACAGGGAGGAGTTATCCATAAGTACACGGGATGGATGTAGAGGGAAATGACGAGGAGGAGGGGGGGGAAGAGGAGGAGGCGGAGGAGGAGGAGGAGGAGGAGATGCTTGTGGGTAGGGGGTGCGTTGTCATTCATGTTCGTGGGGCATCTTGGGCACGCTTGTGAGCGTCACTGGTCCCACGAGGTCATCTTGGAAGTCTTTGGGCATGCCTTGACGGCCTCAGGGGCGATGTTGATGGAGTGTTGGGTCCCTTAAGGACACGATAGGGCTTGTTCGCCCCTGTTGACTATACGGTTGGACCATCATGGGTCCTTCCTTGGAGCTCTGTGTTGGCATTATGAGGTCTCTCGTGCGCTCGTGTGACCCATGTGACTCCATTGGTCTAGTCGGCCCTATTTTGGGTAGCGAATGTCAAGACTGATCCTCGTACGGAGTCTCACCATCGTGTCACGTTGTCTCGCCCTATCTTGAAGTCTTCGCTTTCAGTTCAATGTCTATTGTGACGACTATGGGGTTGACAGGAATATTGCGAACCGCAGGCATCTGGGTCGACACAGACGCTCCGCAGTGCACCCTGAGGCGGAAGAGGAAGAGAAAGAGGAGGAAGAGAAGGGGAAGGAGGATGAGGAGGCGACGACGACGACACGAGATGAGACGAGACCAATGTCAATGCCATAAGATTCCGCTGCCCTGAACTTCATGAGTACCGCGACCTCGACGCCGAACGCCGAGACGTACGGCCGCACCAGAAGCCAAGGAAGCACGAGGGATCCGCGCAACACCCTCCGCTGCCTTCAATCGTTTCACTTCGCCTGCACTCGGCTGGGCTCGGAGCAGGTGTCGGCGGGGCCGAAGGCGCCACTGCCGCCGCCGTCGCCCCTTGAGCATGTAGCACACCTCGGCGGCCCTGCGAGTGCTGGCGAGTGACGCGCGATCCACGCGTGCACGTCGAGGCACGAGCGGCTGGTCTTGCGCCACGGCTCGATGAGGCCCACGAGGGAATTCCAACTGCCCGTGGAGCTCATCGAACGGGACAAAGACCTTCGCCTCGACACTGAACTTGCTCGGCGCCGAAATTGATGCAGCCTCCGCGGGTTCCTCGAAGAGCGACTCCTCCACGTCCATGGCCTGCTTCTCGACGCTCATAGGAGTCCCTGTACCGCGCGGGGCCCCACAGGGTGAGCCGTGGCAGGTCGAGTGTACGACCGCGCCGCACGAGCACCGCATGTCCATCACCAAGGACTCCAGGACCTCGCCGCTGCACTGCACGCCACACTCCTCGGGCGTGTCGACCAGGAGAGGCTCATGCCGCGCTCGATTAGTAACCGCCTTGACCTGCTTGCAGAGCTCCGCCGTGTCACTGCGTAGTAATTCCATGACCGTGAGCTGTCCGAGCGCATCCCCGAGGCGATGGCGGCGGCGTCCCAGGCTCGCGTCGACCTTGCCGTGCAGCAGGAACGCATGCCCCAGCGCCGCCAGCCTGTCGCTGAACTCGGCGACGATCTCCGCATCAGGGCCCAGGCTGAGACTGGCCACTGCCTGCTTGATGGCCTGCTCCACGATGGCGTCTTCCCTTGCGAGGGCCCGCTCCTTTCGCAGTCGCCGAACCAGACTGCTACGCCGAGCCCACTCTTTTCTCTTTACTGGCACTTGCTCCGACGACACTGCGTCCTGCAGGCCTCCCGCAGTCACCCCAACCTCCCAGCGGCCAGCCGCGGCTGCCCCGGACGGGCAGAGGTCCGTCTGCTCCAGACCGCCGCCCACGCGAGGGGCCATGGGCAGGAGCCTACCGACTTGAGCAACGGGGCTTCGTCCGCTGTGGACAGCTTGAGCCAAAATGGCTTGAGGCAAAATAGCTGCGGAGGAGGGCGGAGGAGTGGGGAGGGAGGAGGGGGGATGGGTAGGAGGATGGAACATGGCAATCATTCAGGGGCCTCGCGCGGGAGGTGGCGTCGTGTGCTGACGGGGTCCGCTCCGTGCTTCCGCGCAGGTCGAAGGCCAGCCGCTCCAGCAACCGCAGCAGATGCAGCAGCAGGACCAGCCGCAGCGGCAGCCCGAGCAGCAGCAGCAGCAGCAGCAGCAGCAGCAGCAGCAGCAGCAGCAGCAGCAGCAGCAGCAGCAGCAGCAACAGCAGCAACAGCAGCAACAGCAGCAGCAGCCTCAGCTGCAGCAGCAGCAGCAGCAGCAGCAGCAGCAGCCACAACTGCAGCCGCAGCAGCAAGAGCAGCAGCAAGGGCAATCGCAGGAGCAACAGCAACCGCAGCCACAACTGCAGCCTCAGCTGCAGCAGCAGCAGCCGCAGGAGCAGGCACAGCAGCAGCCGCAGCAGCAGCCGCAGCAGCAGCCGTCGTGGTCGCCGCCGCCGCAGCAGCGGCCGCCGCAGCAGCCGCAGGCGCAGCCGTGGCAGCCGCAGCAGCGGATGCAGCAGCAGCAGTCGCCGCAGGCGGCGGAGCCGCAGCGGCGCCCTTCGCGCGTCTCCAAGGAGCCCGCGCCGCCCTGACGCGGCGGCAACCCCATCGAGCGCTCTGCGGCGATCTGCGCTGGCGCATGCGATCCACGCGGTGTCTGGAGGCAGCGCGGGCGGTTCTGCTCACAACTTGGCCGGGCCTCGAAGAATGAGCGGTCGTCTCTCGGAGGCCCGCGCGCATTTCTTGGATCGGCGCCGGACCCTCGTGGGGTCCTCTCGGGGCCCTCTTGGAGAATGCCTTGTCCCTCTTGAATAATGCGGGATGGCGATTAATTGAAAAAATGGGAGAGGACGATTCCAACATAGTTTTCTGCTATTTCTGCACAATTTTCTGACTGGAGGAGAACGATTTAAAACATAGTTTTCCAGCCCGCGGCCGGTTTTTTCTCATCGTCATCCCGGGCGCCGCCGCGTGAACACGACCCCCGGTCATTTATCAATCGTCATCCTCCATTACAATATCGGAGACTTGTGGGGCCATCCGAGGTTTTCGGGAGCCCGAAACGCCGCGAACACCAAAATCATTGACCCAGACAGGGAGTCAGTGGCCTCCCGAGGGCCTCCTGGAGATCCCCTTGCAGCAAGCAGCTGCCAGCTGGCGAGTTCAGCCAGAGAACATTGGGAACCCTTTCGGGAGAGAATGCCAGCGCGGTTCGCCAAAAGCACACCCTTTTGATAAATCAAGAGGGGCTCGCGGATCCAGTGGGCTTTGACCCATCCCGCCACCGTGCCTGGATTGTGGACCAGAGTCTGCCGGAGAGTGGGAGCCCGACGGGCCTGCGGTGAGTGAGAAGACACTCGCAGATGACCCCTTGAAGAAAAAACATATTATCTTCCATCTGGGGGCGGGGGGCGGAAGGGACACACAGCAGGAGGATGGGAAGAGGAGGAGGAGGAGGAGGAGGAGGAGGAGGAGGAGGAGGAGGAGGAGGAGGAGGAGAAGGATGATGTGGAGGAGGAGGAGGAGGAGGAGGAGGAGGAGAAGGAGGAGGAGGAGGAGGAGGAGGAGGAGGAGGAGGAGGAGGAGCTCCTCCTGCGACGCCTCACTGATGAGGTGATGTCTCCCTGGGGGCCTCTTGCGCTGCCCCTCCCGGGGTGCCTCCCGGGGGGGCCGCCCCGTGCGGGCGCCTCTGGGCCTCCTCTCGGCCCGGGCGGCTCTCGGGGCCTGGCCGGGCCAGGGCCCTCTCCCGAACAGGACGCAGTCTGCGGCCCTTCCTGGAGCGTCCGGGATGCAGCGGATGTGCACATCCATCATGCCCGCACTGAGGTCCGCGAAGGCCGTTCCCCCGGGCGGCGTCTAGGGACGAGTCCCCGCCTCGCGGCGGCGGCGGCGCCGTGGCCCCGCCGCGGCCGGCGCGGCCCTCGAGGAGTGGCAGCCGCGGCCGGCGAGCGCGCCACGGGCGGGTGCCCAGGCCGTGCAACGGGCCGGCCGCTGCCCGCCGCCGCCCTCGGCTCTCGGAGGGATTCGATTGCCTTCGGGAGTGTGTTCGCAGACATGCCCCTTCGTTCCATATTCAGCGCTCGCACGATGGCTGTGTAAGTATGCGTGCATATACATGTGTACACATGGAGAGAGAGAGAGAGAGAGAGAGCAACACACACACACACCTTTTTTGTATACATGTGTATATGTAGATGTACATGTATATCGATCTATGTCTAGAAGTACATATGTATAGGGATAGGGAGAGAGAGAGAGAGAGAGAGAGAGAGACAGAGAGAGAGAGAGAACGAACCAGAGGACGGGGGACTGGCTAGTTTACCTGCGTGACATTTGTCCCCCCCCCTCCGTCGCCGTCGATCCTTGCAGTACTGGTTCAACAAATCGTGCAAGCAGCTTTTTGCTTGCATGATCTCCAGCTTCTCTTCAAGGGGCTCGTCGGGGAGCCCGCTTCCACGCAAGCAACCTTGCCATAATCTATTGAAGCACATGCTCTGGAGGGCCTCCCTGGGCTGCAAGAGGGCTTCTTGAGGTCCCCAGAGGGCTTCAAGAGACCTCCAGGCAGCCGTCAACGACGTCTTCGTTTCGGATGTTTTGAGATATCTGGAGGCCCTCGTCGCCTCTTGACTCGGAAGACTGGCCAGGGTGGAGCCGAGGAGAGGGGGAGTGGGTTTTGATCGATCGTCGTCGTCGCCGTCGTCGTCGTCGTCCTTGTCGTCGTCGTCGTCGTCGTCGTCGTCGATGATCGATGATCGATGATCGATGGTCGATCGTTTGAGGTTCGACGTTCGATTCGTTGTTTCTCCACTTCGGCCTCCGGGCGCCATCCTTGGGCACCACGGCCGTCGAGCACGGGTCCCGAGCAATTGCCCAAGAAGGATCTGGCGGTCCGTCGGCTGTCTTCGCCGTCGCCGTCATCCGTGTCGTCGTCCGTTCTTGCGTCCGTCCGTCATTGCTATTGTTGTTGTTCCCTACCTAGGCTCTGCCTAGAAGGGTTCTTACTCTATTAGCTTAAAGGGGCCAGGCAGTGGGGCTCGCCCCAGGCGGTTCCCCCAGTATCCGCCCCGCGATTTCCCCAGTTACGTCCCCTTTAGCTTAGCGTTGCTTATCTCATCTTAGCTTAGCTGATTTCATCTTAGCTTAGCTTAGCTTCATCTTAGCTCAGGTTATATTAGCTTAGCTTACCTTCATCTTAGCTTCGCTGAGCTTTAGCATAGCAGAGCACATCATAGCATAGCATTTTGTAGCATAGCATAGCTCAGCACAGCATATCATAGCATAGCCCAGCGTAGCATAGCATAGCTTAGCATAGCATAGCACAGCGCAGCATAGCATAGCATAGCATAGCATAGCCTAGCCTAGCATAGCATAGCATAGCGCAGCATGGCATGCCATAGCATAGCATGGCATAGCAACTAATGTTGCCTTCCTAGGGGCTCCAACTTCCAGGTAGGGCCACACCCTTGGCTTAGCTTTGCTTATCTCATCTTAGCTTAGCCTAGCTTAACTTAGCTTAGCTTAGCTTAGCTTAGCTTAGCCTAGCCTAGCCTAGCTTAGCTTAGCTTAGCTTAGCCTAGCCTAGCTTAGCTTAGCTGGGCTTAGCTTAGCTCAACTTAGCGTAGCGCAGCGCAGCGCAGCATTGGCATAGCATACCATAGCATAGCAACGCATAACACACCATAGCATAGCGCAACATAGCATAACGCAGCATAGCATAGTGCAGCATATCATAGCAGATCATAGCATAGCATAGTGCAGCACATCATAGCATAGCATAGCTTAGCTTAGCAGAACACAGCGCAGCATAGCATAGCACAGCATATCATAACATAGGCATAGCGCATCATAGCATAGCCTAGCATAGCGTAGCGCAGTATAGCATATCATAGCATAGCATATCATAGCATAGCATAGCGCAGCATAGCATAGCATATCATAGCATAGCATAGCATAGCATAGCGCAGCATAGAGGAGAAGGAGGAGGACGGCGTTTAGCGTTACTACTAATATTGCTCTCCTCGGGGTTCCAACTCCTAGGTAGGGTCGCTCTGGGATAATCATTGTCATTGTCATTGTCATTGTCGTCGTCGTCGTCGTTGTCGAGGCTTCCCGATATTTTCGGACGTCTTCGGTGGCTAAGGGCGGCTCTCGGAGGCGCTCTGGAGCTTCTCGGAGTTTTTCGAATGCCATCGGGCGTCTTCGCCGCAACTGGGGCTCGCGGCGCGGTCGTCGTCGTCGTCGTTGTCGGTGGTGGTGGTCGCGGCGGCGGCGGTGGAGGAGGAGATGGAGGAGGAGGAGGAGGAAGAGTAGCAGACAGTTCGAGTCGCAAGATTTTTGGGGCGCCTTTCGTCGACCTGACTGGGCCTCCTGGAGGCTTCTCGTCGCCACAGTTGGATAAGCCTCGGAATTCTGGTCGGAGCGCACCCCATGGAGAGTCTCCGAGGGCCGACTTTTGTCGAGAGGAGGAGGAGGAGGAGGAGGAGGAGGAGGAGGAGGAGGAGGAGGAGGAGGAGGAGGAGGGCAACGAGAACGAGGAGGAGGCGCAGGCGCAGGGGGGACGGAGGTGAGAACGCGGAGAGCGGGGAGGAGCATCTGGAGGAGCGGGAGGAGGCGGGAGCGCGAGGCTCGGGCGCCCCTCCGCGCGCTCTCGCGCGGCCCCCCGCGCGAGAAGCGCGCGCCGGAGGCGCACGCGCAGCCGCTGGAGGGCGCGCACGCCCTCGTGGGCTCCGAGCCGCAGGGCCCGATGCCCGCGGCGGTCGTGGAGGGGCGGGGCCTCCTCCCTCCTCAGGCTTCCCCCGCCACCAAAACATATACGCAGACCCTCAACGGAGGAACAGGTACCCATGCCTCTGCCCTTGCCCCGTTTTCCACTTTTCGGGCCTCCTTGGAGGCCCTCGTCGCCACCGTTGGATTCGCCTCGAAATTCTGATCAGAACGCACCCGGGGAGAGGTCCCGGGAGTAGTGGTATCGGTACCTTCTGGTTTCCCCGGACCCTCCACCGGATTGTTCCTGGGCCTCAGGGGAGGGTAGCGGTATATAAATCACCACTGAGGGCAAGCTACTTGTTACACCGTCCCCTCCCTGAACGTATATGCAACGTTCGTCGTGGGGTGCCCGTGTATCTATGTGTTCTTTGCGTACTTCCTTCTACATATTTTTTCCCTGTCGCACCCCAGGCCTGCCGGCAGGGCGGGCCGGGCGCTTCGCGCCGGGCGCTTTGCCTGAGTTTTCCTCACCATTCATGATCCCGATGCTTGTAACTTGCAGAGTGTGGCCTTCGCCTCAGTGCCGCGCATTCGTCTCGACAGTTCTGCAGCAGTTTCAGGGAGGAGTATGGCTGAACTCCCAGGAGTTCTGTCTCGTCACGGTTTAAGTCGGGTATAGCCAGGACCCCGGGTAAGGGGACCCGGTTAGTGGTAGGGCCCTGGGGCCCCTCAATTGGCCAGATTCGCTAAACCAGGTTTGCCGTAACTGGTGTTTTTCGGGTGATGGCAGCTCCAGCCAGTGGAACTGGGACGTGGGGGCGCCCCCGGTACAAATCCCTAAACCAGGTTCCGCTAAACCCAGTTCTGCCAACGCCCGGAGTAAGACTGCCGGGACGCAGCAGTCTCATGCTGACTCGCAGCGCCGCAGATCCGTGCGGACGGTGCTCGGGCTTTTTTGCCTCGCGGGTACGGGCGCCGCGCGCGGCCGCGGGGCTCCCGACGGCCGACCCGTCCGTCGGGCACCTCTCGGCAGCTGGGCGGGGCGCTGCGCGGCGAGGGAGCGCCCTCTGGCGCCACTGAGGATTTTCAGGCGATGGTTAGGGGAACAAAAAGTGGCATAAGCAGAAAAACTCGGAGGTCCGCGCGGATTTCCCGGATCGGCGCTGGGGCCCCCCCGGCGGCGCCTCCGGCGCCGCCCCTGGCGCGCTCCGCGCGCCAGGGAGGGGGGTCTGGCGCCGATCCGAGAAATCCACGCGGACCTCCGAGTTTTTATGTTTATGCTACTTTTTGTTTCCCCAAATGGTCTGAGAGCGGGGCACTTCCCGTGATGAACATGAATTCTTGTAGGGGCCCGTGAAGGGGGTTTCAGAGGGAGGGTCTGTTGCAGCATCGTTGACGCGTCTTGGGTTTGCACTGGTCCTCCTCCTCCTCCTTGCCATGTCCTGAAGGGCGCGCGCGGGCTCCCTAGCGGAGCGGGCACGACCCTGGCGTCCGTGCGTTCGTTCCCGTGGGAGGCGCAGACACTACGCTTGCGGAGCAGCCTCGATGGCTGCCCTGTTCGAGCGGAGGGGTAGGATTCTCATTCTACCCTTCGAGCGGAGGGGGAGGATTCGTCGTTCTACCCTCGTCGATGCTGTGGCGCCTCTGGCGTAGGAAGGCGCCAGGAAAGCCAGCGATATGATTCGTTCCCCTTCGTCCGGCCCGCTCCTCTCGGATGCGACGACATGGGCGAAAAGCCCAGGGGCGGGTATAACACGTGTTCGCCCTGGAGCCTCGCCGAAGGCATGGACCATCGGCGCACTTCATGTATTGCTCCCCCCAGGCTATTCGCCGCCATCGTCACCACTGATCATCCGGCCCGATCATCCTTGTCTTTTGGCATCGTGAGTGGGCGAGCCCCAGGCCGGAGGCATGGACCATCGGCGCCTTTGGATGCATGTATTGTCCTCCCCTGGGCTATTCGCCCCCATCGTCGCTTCCGATCCTCCATCTCTTCTGGTATCGTGAGCGGAGGAGGAGGAGGAGGAGGAGGAGGAGGAGGAGGAGGAGGAGAAGGAAGGGGCCTGCCCAGCAGCGGTCGCTGTCGGTTCGTTGCTGGGCGTCGTCCCCAATTTGTTGCTGTTCCTTTTTTAGATGCCCAAGCCCTCCTCGAACCCGCTTCATCCTTATCGTCGTCGTCCTGCTCCCTCTCCCCCGCCCCCTCCAGGACATCGAACTTTCTCAATTCCGTCCCATCGCATCCTATTCCATTCAATTCCAGCCGAGCTCCGTCACGTCCCATTCCATTCCATTCCATTCCATTCCATTCCATTCCATTCCATTCCATTCCAGCCCCATCCCTTTCCGTACCGCTCCACTCCGTTCCCCTCCATTGCATGCCATTTCTTCGTCAAGCCCTCCCGGGGCCCCCCCGCCGTCCTCCTCCTCCCCCCCCCTTCCCCTGGCGCGTGGCGCGGTGGCGGATGGCCGCCGACGCTGGGCTCGACCTGCTGGCGATCCCGCCGAACCCGGTGATCTACCTGCTCCCATCGAGGCCGTGGCTCTACAGCCTTCAGGCGGGCCTGTCGCGCCAGCGAGCGCTCGGCACACGTGTCTCGTTCGCGTCTGTTCCCCGCCATCCTAAGTGCAATCAGGGCTTCTTGTTGTTCCTGGGTTGCCTCCTGCCTCCTTCCCGCCTCCCTCCTTCGTCTCATCACACTCAGATCACTCATACTCAGACTCACTCACGTGTAGATGAATCATACTCAGACTCATTCACGGTCAGATCATTCATGCTTAGATTCACTCACTCTCAGACTCAGTCAGACTTCGGTCGCCAGACGGCTGTGACCTCTGGTGCGTGTAAGGAGGCACACGAACCAAACTCAGACCCACTCCGACTCGGACTCACTGACAGTCAGAACACTCAGATCACACTTTGATCAGTAATACTTAGTCTCACTCGCACTCACACTCCGACTTACGCAGACTCGGACTCACTCGCAGTCAGTCGTACTCGGATTCACTTACACTTGATCACTCCTACTCGAACGCGCCACGCGGGCTCATACATCAGACTCACTCATAATCATATACAATCGCATTTAGTTCACACAAACTCGGACACACCACGCGGACTCCATACTCAGACTCACTCACATTCAGACCCACTCACCCCAAGGGGGGGCCGCCAGGAGGTGTTACACTCGCTCGCTCGAGGCCAGAGTGTGGGATGTCTCTGGCGGCTTCTTCGTTTCGTGGATGGGACTCCCGCTTTCAGAGCTCATCGTGAGGATTTCTGAGCAGGCACTTGTTCTAGCACCCCAGGAGGAGCCGCCAGGGGGTTTTACCCTCGCCTGTTCGTGGCCAGATTGTGGGGATGTCTCCGGCGGCTTGCTCGTTTCGTTGCTGTGATTCGTCTGCTTTCGGAGCAGATCGTAAGGGTGTCTCGAGCGAGGCGCTTATTCTATCACCCCAAAGGGGGAGCGGCCAGGGGGTGTTGCACCCGCGTATTCGCGTCCAGATTGTGGAGATGTCTCCGGCGGTTTGCCGTTTCTGTGGCTTGGACTCCTTTTCCTTCAGAGCGGATCGTGAGAAGGGGCTTCCAAATGAGGGGCCGCCAAGGGGGTGTTACATTTTACGCTCACCTGTTCGCTGCCAGATCGAGGCCTTGCCTTCTTTTTTCCTTCCTCTGTTAATTAAAGCTGTGCGCGGCCCGCTTAGCTTCGACCGGAAGAGGCTCGTTCTCGAGCTGCGGATCAAACAGTTCGCTGCCAGATTGCGGATGTCTCGGGCGGTTTGCTCGGTTCGTGGCTCGGACACCCCGGCTTTCAGAGCAGATCGTACAGTCGGGGCCCTGAAGAAGGAACCCTTTTCGTTGGGGAGGGGCTCCGTGTTCCTTAATTGTTTCGCAGTTTGCCTTTGATTTCCCCTAGGTTTTCGATACGAAATCGAAGTTCAACTTATGGAAAATAGGGGCCTCGTTCCTTGTTTAGGGTTCCTTAGGTCAACGCCTCGACTGTAATGATGTCTCGAGCGAGGCGCTTGTTCTATCGCCCCAAGGGGGAGCCGCCAGGGGGGTGCCACAGCTCGCCCCCTCGCGACCAGACTGTGGGGATGGATGGCTCCAGCGGGTTGCTCGTTGCGTGGTTCACGCCCTGCTTTCGGGGCAGATCGGGGGACGGGTTCGCTCCTCGAGGTCTCACGGGCTCCTTCAGCAAGAACTCCAGAGTGATGAGATTTTCAGGGAGAATCCCTTGCACAAGGATTCCTTCAGCAAGGATTGTCTTCGTGACGGGTTTCTCAGGATGGCTTCCCTGGTGAGAGTTCCTTGCTACGGGCTCTTCCAGTGCGGATTCCTGCAATAAGGGTATCCTCGGTAAAGATCCCTTCAGCCTAGAATTCTTTCAGGGTGGGTTGTTCCGTATGGATTTCCTGAGCAAGGATTCCTTCGTAAGGACTCCTCAGTACGTAATCCTTTGGACGGGTTCCTTTAGTAAGGATTCTAGGATTCTTTAAGAGGGAGGACGGTAGGAAACATCGTGATCCGAAGCGGTGATGAGGAGATAGGAGGAGGTAGGAGGAGGAGGAGGGACGCCATTGTAAACAACCTCACAAACGCGGGCCCCCGTTATGCTCTCTAACCCGTCGCACGGGCCCGTTCGCGGCCAGACTTGGGATGTCTTGGGCGAGGCGCTCGTTTCGTGGCTGGAACTCCTCTGCTTTGAGGGCTGATCGTGCGGACGTCTCGAGCTAGTCAGGCAACACGCTGGTTGAGGCAGCCCGGACCCTTCTCCTTTCAGAGCTCAGAATGCATCGAGATGCAGCAGGCACAGCATCTGGGCACTCCAAGTGGGAGCTGCCAGGGGGATCGCTCAGTCTCCACAGGCTAAGGTTCCTTGACTCAGACACTTACAAACGAAAACGCTAGGAACTGAGGTGCACGTATGGGGATTTCCGCGTCGAATGATGATTTCATGAACTTCGGCTTTTGGAGGTCCATTTCGGTTCCGAGATCGTCTCCAAAGCAGCCTGGGACGAAACAACGACCCCTGGCAAGGGGTCCAGGGCTCCGAAATGCCACACGTTGAGAACACACGTCGGAGGCCTGGGGATGCAACCTATATCGATTCAGAAGCGTTGTCAGACGACCTCCTCCCCAGCGTTCCGCGGAGCCCGACACTTCCTCCAGACAATCAGTTTTGTCATTTCAGTCGTCTGATTCCCACGCGCTCTGCCCTCCGAGTGCGCCTGTCACCCCTGCATGTTTGGTTCTGGAATTTGGCAGAAGCCCGGGCAATTGTATTTTTTTCCTGTGAGCGTGTGGCAGTGGTAGTGCTGAGCCCCCCACAGTAAGCAGGCCCCTCGACATGTCCATCGGTGCGTTCTGACCAGGGCGCCGAGGCGGATCCAGCCTTTGCGACGAGGACGTCCCTGGAGACGCCCAAAGGGTGAACCACTTTGATAAACTTGGGTCAAATCCTCTTTCTCCTCCCATGGCGTCCCCAATTTTCCGCCCACCCGTAACAATTAACCGCAACGTGGGGAGATTGTCTTGTATTGCCTCCACGGATAACGCGTGCTACCCCCTCCAGACCCCTCCCCTTAAACGGTAGTTCCTGGAAGCCGGCCACATGCGTGATTTTTTGAGTTTTTTTTCACTGGACCTTGTAGGGGGCCCCATGCAGTTCGCACGGATCCTCACAGGATTCCTCAGAGCCATCCACTGGCATGCGAGGAGGAGGGATGAGAGGATGAGGATAAGGATGAGGAGGAGGAGGAAGAGGAGGAGGAGGAGGAGGAGGAGGAGGAGGAGGAGGAGGAGCAGGAGGAGCAGGAGGAGCAGGAGGCGGAGGAAGAGGAGGAGCAGGAGGCGGAGGAAGAGGAAGAGGAGGAGGAGGAGGAGGAGGAAGAGGAGGAGGAGGGGGAGGCGGAGGAGGAGGAGGAGGAAGAGGAGGAGGAGGAGGAGGAGGAGGAGGAGGAGGAGGAGGAAGAGCAAGAGGAAAAGGAGGAGGGGGAGGAGCACGACGATGACGACCGACGTGGCCCAGAGGGGTCCGAAGCTGCACAGTCCTTGTGGTGTACGCAGGCGTTGAGGTCTTGTGGGGCAAACTGTTGTCGCTGCTGCAGTAGCTCGTGGTACACGCAGGCATGGTGGTGCGCATGCACCGTGGTGTACACAGGCGCTGTGGTGCACGCAGGCACTGTGGTATACACAATCTCTGTAGTGCACATGGCTGCTGTGGTACGCACATGTCCGCCGTGGTCTTCAAAAGCAATCTGGCGCACGCAGGCGCTGTGGTTTACACAGGCGCTGTTGCGCACGGCTGCCGCGGTGTACAGAGGCACTATGGTGTACACAGGCGCTATGGTGCTATGGCGCGCGCGGCTGCTCTAGTGTACAGAGGCACCGTGGTGTACACAGGCGCGGTGGTGCACGATTGTCACGCAGGCGTTGTCCTGCACAGGGATCGTGGTGCACGCAGGCGATCGTTGCGCCGGTGCTGCGGGCGCGCCTGGGGGGTGCACGCCGCGGCCGCCGTTACCGTTATCCCCCCTCCCCGCCGACCCCCCCTCGTAACACGCGTTGCCCCCAATGGATACAAGAACAATCTCGGGCTCGTTGAAACTTGTTCTGACCTCTGCAGTCTGTCCAGCTTGCTGCGGGCCTGTCCGTCGACTGGGGTTTGGGCGCGTCCCGTAGCCGATTCCAAGTCAAACTTGTTGTTTCAAAGACTTGCGTCCATGCAGCAGAGTTTTAAGCACTTGCAAAGACCCTTGCACAGACTTGAGCTCTTTCAAAGACTTCGCCCTTTCAAAGACTGAAGCCCTTAAGCCCTTTCATGTGGCTTAGGCCCTTGCAGAAAAACTCTCCAGGTCCGCGGCCTGGCCGACGTGCCGGACAGCGCCGTGGACGCGGTCTGCCGCGGCGCGGACGTGCTGTGGTTGCAGGGCGCCTGGGAGGTGGGCCCAGAGGTCGCGGGCGGCAAACACCGTTCGCGGGAGATCTCTCCGCCCCAAACCCTGAGCCCCCCCCCCCCTCCCCCCGAACAAACAGCTGGGCGGCTCTTCGACGGCGGCTATTCGACCGCACCCCTAGCGAGGATGGACGCGCACCCCTCCCCATATCGCAGAGTCCCGCGTCGGGGGCCCCAGTTTGTGCGAGCCGGACACGGGGGTCGCCATGCCCCCCGCTGGTAGCTTACTTCCACGGCGGCCCCGCGGGCTGGACTCCTCGGTGTCGCGACCCCGCGGGTGCAAGGCCGCTCTGCGCGGATGCCTGGCGCGGAGCGCACGCGCGGGAGCCCGCCTCCGTGGCATCGCCCCCCCCCCCACCCCCATGTTGGCCCCCCAGTATATCCCCGACCGCGAGGGCCTGGATGTGTGTGGATGTGTGCGTGCGTGTGTGCCGCCCGTGGCGAGGGGCGCAAGCACGACCTCGGGGAGCCGGGGAGGCTGCGCCACTTCCAGGAGTGCCTGCGCGGCACCTTCGTGGAGGACGACTGCATCGGGTCCCCCTACGCGATCACGCGCTACGCGGTGAGCCCCGACCTGGGCTCCGAGGACGACCTCGCCGCCTTTCGCGCCCGGCTCCGGCGGCGCGGCGTGGCGCTGATGATGGACTTCGTGCCGAACCACACGGCCCGGGACAGTCCCTGGGTGTCGCAGGCAGGCCTCCACATCGCCGCAGAGCACGGCGCCGCCAGGGGCGGGCCGGCGTTCGGGCGCGACCCGTATTCGGGGGACTGGACGGACACGGCGCAGCTGAACTACTGGTCACCGGCATGCCTGGAGCACATGTCGTCGGTGCTGGCCGACGTCGCGGGGCGGTGCTCGCCGGCGAGGGAGGGGGGAAGTGAGAAGGAGGTTGAGACGTCCCCGGGCCTTCTGAGAGGTATTCCGAGCCTTCCCCGAAGACGAACGGAAATTCCTCAGAAGGCGCGAGGGCTTCTGAGAAGTCCCGCCGCCCTCTGAAAAGACCTTTTTCCTTCTCCTTTCCCCGCTCGCTCGCCGCGGAGGTGCGACGCCGTGCGCATCGACATGGCCATGCTGCTCTGCAACGCCGTGGTGGAGCGCACCTGGGGCGACGTGCTGCGGCGCCAGGGTTTCGGCCGCCCGCAGGGCGAGTTCTGGCCCGCCGCGCTCGAGCGGGCGCGGTGGAGGCGCCCGGGGTTCTTCGCGCTGGCGGAGTGCTACGAGTACGATTGAAGAAGAGCAGACGGCATAAGCATAAGCTGTTGGCGCTCCGCGCGGATTTCTTGGATCTGCGCTGGGGCTCCCCTGGCGGCGCCTCCTCTGGCGCGCTCCGCGCGCCAGGGAGGGGGTTCCAGCACAGATCCAAGAAATCCGCGCGGAGCGCCAACAGTTCATGTTGATGCCACTCTTTCTTCTCCTGACGATGAGATCTTTCCGCGCGGCACGGGGCAGGAGCTGCTCCAGCAGGGCTTCGACGCGGTCTACGACAAGGTGGCCTACGACCGGCTCCACGAGGCTGGGCGACGAGGTCTGCACGATCTCCACTGCCCCCGGCCAGGCCCACCTTGGGCAGAGGCTCGATGTTACGTGCCTCCCTGGCCAAGCTCCTGGGCCCAGGATGGGCCTGTCCAGGGGCGGCGAGCATCTGCAGATCTCGTCTTAAGTCGGGCGTGTCCCTCTACAGGGGGAATGTTCAAAAATCATCCAAATATTCTGGGGGCGATTTTTCGACTGTGTTTGACTATTTCTGATTCATTTGGCTATCTTTTATTTTCCGTCCAAAATTCGCCTGTAGGATGACATGCCCGACCTAAATCTCGTCGCCCCACGAGGGTCACATGGACCGCTTGCGCGGGCACCTGCACGGCGGGAATTCCCCGCTCGTGGCCGGCCGCCTCTCGGCGGCAGCAAGCGGGGCGGATGGCCCCGTGGGGGGGGGGGGGGGCGGGGCGCTGCGTGCATCGCTCGTGGTCTCCGACGAGGCCCCGCGGCGAGTGCGCAGGGGATGCGCGCGCAGTGCCCGCCCCCGTGGCGGTCCTCGGCTGCACGAAGGGGGTGGCCCTTCGCCAGGGTGGCCTGCGGCGCGCGGCTGTTGGAGGGCGTGGGGGCCCAGCCGCCGTGCGGAGGCCGCCGTGCCGTCGCCCCCGCACGCGGCGATCGGCAGGCCGCGCACCGGAGCTCGCCCGCGCCCCGCTGCCCAGCCAGTGCCGCTCGTGCGTGCGTCTATGGCAGGTGCCCGCCCCTGCGTCCGCTGCCCACTGCCAGGTCACTCCAGCCCTGGCTGGCCGATGCGGTGAGCTCGGGGGGCGCGAAAAGGGGGGCGAGGGTTGCAGAGAAGGGGCTCTGTTGGGCCCCTAATGGGAGCCCTTTGGGGCCCGGAAGGGGGCCCGTAGGGTCCGAAACGGGCTCCTTCCTTCCCCCCCCATCTATCGCCCCCCATCAATTCGCGCCCGGGCTCATCCTGAAGCGCTTTCAGTCTTGAGTACCCTCCCCCTCCCTCCTGCCACCTGCGGCCCCCTCCCCTCCTGCGCGCCCTCCTCTTGCCGCTGGGCACTTCTTGGTTTGTCGGTTTGTCGCGAGAGCCCCCGACTGCTGCGAGCGCCCGCGCGGATTGCCTCTGCCTAGCTGCGACGAGAAAGTGTAGCCGATATCTCGTCGCCACCCCAACATACTTATACTACATGTGCGTCGCCCCCCGGGGGGCGATGCGCGCACCGAGAAACCTTCTAGTGTCCGCGTTGTGGCGGGCGCTTCCTGGCCGCACCGCTCGGGAAGCGACGTACTCCAAGATGGCTACACCATTTGCTTGGGTCGGCCGCGCGCCCCCGAGGAGAGAGAGCATATGGGGCTGATGCGTCCTCGTGCGCCCCGAGACCCGCTCCCCTTGCCTCCGCCGAGCCCTGTGCCACTTCACGGAGAACCACGACGAGCCCCGGGCCGCCCGGCATTTCGGGGCGAGGGCCGCCGCCGCGGCCGTGCTCGCCCTCTCGCTGCCGGGGCCCCGCATGGTGATGTGGGGCCAGGCGCCGCCCGCGAAGCGCACCTCGGCCGCGCGCAAGGGGGGGTCGACTACGCGCAAGAGTGGCCCTTCGCCGGAGTGACCTCTGGTGAGCGGGCTCCTCGGGCTCCCCCCCGATCGCCGAGCAGGATGCGACAACTGAGCGGCCCACGCCCTTGGGTTTGGCTCCCTCGCGCCCCCAAAGGCTGCGCACCAGAGGTCACTCTTACCCAGGGTCACTCTTACGTCTAGCCGAAGGGGGGGTACGGTGGCTGCCCCTGCCAAGAAACACTGGGGGTGGACAGGCCTCCTACCCGGACACGTCGATCAGTGAACTGGCCGTTTTCGGTTCGCGAGATGGCGTCGCGGCCGTCCTTTTTGCGGGTCCAGGTCCGCCGGTTTCGGTCCCAGGCCGTTTTCACTGAAGGGAGGTTTACTAGAGGGAGGTTTGTCCACAGCCGAAAACACCCTGCTTGCTTCCAGGGTTCCCTCGGTTTCCTGGGTTTCGATGGGTTTGCTGTGGAAGGCGCGGCGTTCCCGCACCAATCATCGATGGACGTTTTGGGGTCTCAGGGTTGGGTTTCGTGTGGGAGGTTTCTTGTGGACTGGCCTCCTCTGTAGGGGGAGTGGGGAAGGCTTCTCAGAAGCACCCCTGCTTCTTAGAAGGTGCGGGCATTCTCTGTAGACGTGAGGCCGGCGCCTTCTGAGAAGCAGCCTCCTTCTAAGGAGTCTTCCCCCTCCCTCCGATCCCTTGTCTGCGCCGCCAGGCATCGGCGGCAACCAAGACTTCGGCGGCGTCCAAGATGGGGCCCCGATGGATGGGGCTCTGAGGACAAGGGGGCCTCAAGCGATGTAAATTCACCTTGGGGTCCCTTTGGGGCCCCAGCTTTGGACCGCCGACGGGGGGCGGGTGGGGGGCGGTGACGTTGGGGGGCGTGGACGCTATGGCTGGGGCCATCCATGACATCTCCCCAGATCTGGTGGCCCCCTCATCTGATTTCAAGACGTCCCATGCTCCCCCCCTCGCCCGTGCACGTGCCTCTTTTGCCCCGGCCAGCATTTGTGCAGCCCCCTCTTGGACGCCCGCCTCTTGGCTGCCTCCGTGCACGCGGTGGGCCTGGGGCCGGGCCCAGTCGAGACCACGGCGGCAGCCCTCCCTGGCGTTTTCCGCCCTGCCTGGGCCTCCTGCGAAGCCTCTCGTGGGCCACGGCTGGATCCGCCTTGGATCCCCTGGGGGGGGGGAGGGCCCGGGCCTGGGCCCGGAGGGGGCAGACTCTGAGCGGCCTGGGGCCGGGCGGCAGAGCCGCCGCTGCCTCCGTGGGCCCTCCTCTCCGCGTGGGGGGCGAGGGCGGGCCCCCCTCCGGGAGTGCCGAGGGGGTCTCTCCGAAGAGGAGAGCCCCGGGGGGACTTCTGAAAGAGAGAGAGAGAGAGAGAGAGCGCCTCGGAGAGGGCCCGCCGCCTCCTCGGGCGGCCGCCGCGCGACCCGCGTCGGCTCCCGACGATTCCCGAAGGGGCCCCTCCGGGGGCCCTCTCTGCCCGGGCCTTCGAGCTGCGCCCGCCCAGGGCTGCGAGGGCCCTCCAGGAGGAGCCCCCCCCGAGAGGGCAGGCCCGAGAGGCCCTCGTCGAGCCGAGCGCCCCGAGGAGTCCGGCCTCAAGGAGCGGCTGGCGGTGCACCTCCGGCGCGCCGCCCCGGAGCAGGCCGACGGCGGCGCCGCGGAGTTCTACTCGAGGCTCCTGGGCGTCCTCCCCCGCTGCCGCGGCGCCTGGGCCCCGCTCGCGGTGGGCGGCGGGGACTCCTGGCGGCTCCTCGCGGGCGCGGAGACCAGAAGTGCGGATTTGGTATAACAGAAGGGGTCGGGCGGGGCCAGGACGAGGAGACATCCGTTCCGGACCGTTCCGGAACGCTCTCAGAGTGTTCCGGAACGCTCTGGGAAGGCCACGGCGCCCGATACCTTTTCCAGATCCGCCAGATCTCAGAGATTCTCCAGTTGTCCTTACCCGATTTCATCTTCTTTCTGGCTTTGTCTTAAAGACCAGAAGTGTGGACTCGGTAACAGAAGGGGGGGAGCCGCAACCCTACCAGACGGGCTCTCTTAGAACCCCTCCCGGCCAGCCATAGAAGGGCGGCTTTGGCAGACCCCCCGGAGCCTTCTCGACGGCTCACATCGGAGCCCCCTTTTACCACAGTCCATGTGCACTTTTTTTGTCGCAGCCGCAGGCGAGGGCGCCAGCGGCGAGTCAGGTCCGAGCGGGCCGCGCAAGAGCCGAATTGCCTAACGCCGACGGGCCGGCGTCCTCAGCAGCGCCTTGGCGGGCGGGGCCGGCGGGCGGGGGGGGTGCAATTGGCAAGCTGCAGCTGCCAGGGACCAGGTCCAGGAGCGCGCACATGAAGTCCATGTGCACGCGAAGAAGAAGAATCTGAATACGCAGTGACGTTTGGAGATCTGCGCGGATTTCTTGGATCGGTGCTGGGTTTCCTTCCCTGGCGGCGCCGCCGGCGCTGTCCCCGTCGCGCTCCGCGCGTTGGTGATGGGGTCCAGGGCCGATCCAAGAGGTTCGCGTGGACACATGCTAAACGGGGTTATGGTTTCCCCCGCCCGCGTCGCAGCCGCGTCCCCCACACCCAGGTCACTCCTCCTCCTCGTCATCATCATCATCATCATCATCATCATCATCATCATCATCATCATCATCAACAACAACATCCTCGGTCTTGCATTTATCAAGCGTACACACATGCATGGCACATACGCGTACACACACATCACACACGCACGCTCACCAGCCGCACGCGCACATATCACACAATGCTAGTGCACTCGTGGCGCGTTCACTGCATCATGCACGCCACGCCAGGTGCATGCAATTCATAAGTGGGACCGGCATGAAACATACTTCCACATACATCCACAATCTTGTTATCCATACGCAAGACATGCAGATGCAAACGTTGTCACTCATATTCGGCTACCGATGAACGCCATCGACATGTGTTCGTTCTTATGTGATCACGTTGCGTGTTCACAGCATCCCGGTTTCTGAACATTGAACGAGAATGTTGGTCATATTTCCACCGAGCGCAAAATGTATTTGAAATCGCCCGTCATCATCGTTCATCCATCGGGGAAAATGCGAGTTGGTTACAGAGGCCGTTCCCTGGAGCGGCGATTAGCAACTCGGTAATGCAAAACATTGCCACGTCGCGCTTGGCCAGGGTATCCATTGTGGAACTCCGTGCAAATCGCCAATGCTAACAGGAAGCGGGCGATACGGAGACGGGAAGAGCCTCTGCACCCACAGGACGAAGGTGAATTTCATTTCTAGGTTAATTTGGGAGATTTTCATGCGCAGTCCTACCGTCGGAGTTTTTTTGTTTACTTGTTGGCTGGTACCTCCCTGGGACCTCGGCCATCTGCCACAAAAGGAACCGTTTCGAGGCGGAGTTCAAAAGAATTCCGTTGTGGCGGCATAGAGAGACAAAGAGAGAGAGAGAGAGAGAGAGAGAGAGAGAGAGAGACAGAGCAGAGGGGGAGAGAGAAAAAAGGAGAGAGAGAGAGAGAGACAGAGACCCCACGGCCCACGGGGCCGCCGTCCACGAACAAGTTTAAACACATGGGAGTCGCCTTCGGCCATCTTGTACGTCTGCCACAACGAGAGTATGTGTTTTCAAGGCGGTTGCAAAAGGCATGTCCTTGGTGGAGGCTTATAAACCGGATTCTTGTGTGGCTGATCCGAAAAGCAGAGGGAGAGATCCCACGGCCTACGAGGCCGCAGACCGCGTGAAATATAATACATTCGCCCGGCAAGAAAACCTAAGTATCTGCAGTTGTGGGCACCGTCGTTGTATGCACCGCATTCGGTGGAGCCCCCTTATGGGGCTACCAAACGTGTGAAGGGGTGTGCCAGTAAGGGTGCGGTGGGTGCATGCACGCGCTGGCATGTGGGCCTTCGGTGGGGCTCCCTATGGGGCCACGGAACGTGTGAAGGGCGTGCCCAAATGGGTGCCGTCGGCGCAAGCGAACACTGGCATTTGGGCCTTCGGTGGGGCTCCCGATGGGGCCACGAGACGTGTGAGGGGCGTGCCAAAATGGGCGCGGTGGGCGCATGCGAACGCTGGCATTTGGGCTCTCGGTAGGGCTCCCAGTGGGGCCACGATGCGTGCGAACGGTGTGCCAAAATATCTACGGAGGGCGCATGCGAACGCTGGCATTCGGGCCTTCGGTGGGGCTCCCTCTGGGGCCACGGAACGTGCGAGGGGCGTGCCAAAATTGGTGCGGTGGGTGCATGCGAACGTTGGCAGTTGGGCCTTCGGTGGTCCGTCCCTCTGGGGTCACGAAATGTGTCAGGGGTGTGCCAAAACAAGTGCGGTGGTCGCATGCCAACGTTTGCATTTCGGCCTTCGGTGGGGCTCCCTATGGGGCTACGAAGCGTGTGAGGGGCGTGCCACCATGAGTGCGGTGGGCGCATGCGGACGCTGGCATGTGGGCCTTGCGTGGGGCTCCCTATGGAGTCACGAAGCGTGTGAGGGGTGTGCCACAATGGGTGCGGTGGGTGCAAGCGAACGCTGGCATGTGGGCCTTCGGTGGGGCTCCATATGGAGCCACGAAGCGTGTGAGGGGTGTGCCACAATGGGTGCGGTGGGTGCAAGCGCACGCTGGCATGTGGGCCTTCGGTGGGGCTCCCTATGGAGCCACGAAGCGTGTGAGGGGTGTGCCACAATGGGTGCGGTGGGTGCAAGCGCACGCTGGCATGTGGGCCTTCGGTGGGGCTCCCTATGGGGCCACGAAACGTGTGAAGGGGCGTGCCAAAATGGGTGCGGTGGGCGCATGCGAACGCTGGCATGTGGGCCTTCGGTGGGGCTCCCTATGGGGCCACGAAGCGTGTGAAGGGGCGTGCCAAAATGGGTGCGGTGGGCGCATGCGAACGCTGGGACTTGGGCCTTTGGTGGGGCTCCCTACGGGGCCACGAAGCGTGTGAGGGGTGTGCCAAAATGGTTGACTTGCTCGGATGGCACAGGCAGGGATCGGAGGAGGAAGGCGTCAGCGGGAGGACGAGGAACGCGGGGCGCTGTCTCTTCAATGCGAAGACCCAGCACCACAGGATGTTGAGGGCCCCAGGCGTTGTTGTTGTTCTTTTGGTGTTTGTTTTTTTCATTGTGGCTAGTATCCCCCGAGGCCCTCGGCCTTTTTGTTCGCCTGCCCCCCCAAAAAAGTCGAGGCGGATTACCATATTAATTTCTGTGGTGGGGGCTTACGACAAGGAGCCTTGTGTGGCGGATTAGAGAGAGAGAGAGAGACGCACATATATATATATATATATGTGTATGTAGAGAGAGAAACAAAAAAACAAACGAGGGAAGAGAGAGAAAGAGAGATAAAGAGAGGCAGACCGTCCCCAAACAGTCATCTTTTTTAAAACATCTTCTCGGGGGTGAACGCCCAGGGGGATTCTTGGAATGTCGAAATCAGAATGCGTCGTGGCGTGGTTTTCCCCAAAAGATTCTTGCGGGGGGGGGGGGGGGGGCGGCGGCTGAACCCTGGGGCCCATCCCATCTGGGGGGGGGGGCTGTGAACCTTTGACCCTATAGATGTGTTCGCCGATCGCCAGGTTCCTGGCGTGGTCCTGGCGCGGCGACTCCGCCGTGGTCATCGTGGTGTGCAACTTTACTGACGGCGACGCCTGGGCCAATGTGCACGCTGGCGAGGTGCTCGCCCAGTGCAGCGTCTCAGGTGGCGGGGATGCCAAGATGCCTTCGCACGGAGTTGCTTGTACCAGGCATCTTGATCCCTGTGTATGCTTGCTGCCTGACGCCCCCTCAGCACCCGGCATGATCCCGCTTCGTTTTGGTCACATGTGTCTTTGCAGGTGTTGCCTTTACTCATTCGCTTCTGTTTGCGTTGTTCACAATGCGACTCAATTAGTTCACGCTCCATGATGAGCCAATGTAACAAATAGAGACGGATGACCACCTCAACCCCCAGAGACCCCCCGCGGAAATTCTTAGAACCTCTGTCCCCCGCGTCTCCTCCCTCCCACTTGCCTTGCCCACTGTCCGTCCTTGCCAACACTGTCCCCCTCTTTTTGTCCCTTCTCCCTCCTCCACCTCCCTCCTCCCCCTGGGGAGGAGAGGGGGAGGGTACGTGGGTCGGCGGCGTCTTTTTTGCTGACCGCTCTCGCCAGGTGGGCGGGTCCAGCTGGCAGACGCCCTCAGCGGGACGGTCTACGACCGGAGCATGGACGACTTGCGGGGCCCCGAGGGGCTGGTGGCTCGGGAGCCCCTTCCGAAGCGATCACCTTGGCCATGCCCACCCCATAGCTGGGCATAGCCCTGGGCGCGTCCATCCCTCCCTACACCCCCCGCAGAATAATAATAATAATAATAATAGTAGTAGTAGTTTTATAATAGTAGTAATGATAACGATAACAATAATAATATCCGAGTGCCCCGGATGATAAAGCGCACCCCCCCTTTCCCCCCTCTATTTTTCTATCCCGGTTCAATAGGATTTAATTGTGGAGAGGGGCACGGAGGCCGAATTTGATAATCCACGGGGGAGGTTGCGAATCGAAGTTGCTATCATCTCTTGTTGAATCGCAAAAGCATCAACAACTCTAAGCATGGCCATGGTGGTCTCACCATATCAGCTTCCGCAATCACTAGTGTGTGGCAGGGCTGTGGGATTCTCATCAATTCAGTTGATTATCCCGAGCCACGAGCCACGAGACCTCGAGATCTCTCGAGTCAGTCTTGTTCCAAGATCTACCAAGAATCCGCCAGACCCCCGAATTTTATTATTATCCCTGAGTGATTACTATCCGGGGCACACGGTTAGTCATAATAAGAGTCATAATAATAATAATGATACTAATAATAATAATACGAATAAGAATACGAATAATAATAATACTAATAATAATAAATATAAGAATCATGCGAATAATAAATATCGGCACCCGCAGTGGGAGGTCCGCACGGATGTCTTGGACTGGCGCTGGATCCAAGACCTGTGCTACGTCGCCTGCCACGGCTTCTCCTCCGGAATGGTGAGCGGCCGTCCTGGCATCATTGGCTGCCGGGTGTGGGCGGCGGCTCTCGAGGATGAGGCCTACAGCCGGGACGCCGAGATACGGGCCACTTCGAGCTCAGAGGAGGCTCGCTGTCCCTCGAGCTCTCCCATGGCTGTTCCACGGGCCTCCCCTCGTGCACCGAGGCGCTTCGGGGGTTGGATCTTGCGCTCCGTCTGGCAGTGCCTCGACTGTGCCGTGGCGGGCCTTTGGTCGCTCTACTCGCGGGGCGTCGGAGTCCAGATGCGCACTTCCCGGAGGCCCCTCGTTCCTTGCACCTATCGGGGGCGGCCAAAAGGGGGGGTGATGACTGAGGGGTGGGTGGGTATCATGGTGTGGGCCAGGGTATTTCCTCAGATTTCATGGCGCCTCTTCTTATTTCATTGCGTCCCTGGCGCCCCCCCCCGGGCCGCGCACATGCCGCCGGCTATGCTTCGCGCCCCTCCCCCACCCCGGGACGCCCCCCTCTTGGCCGCCCCCGAACCTAGGTCGGGGAACCCATCTGGTCCCTGTTTGGCGACTTTCGTTGGCCGCGCCCCTCTCGAAAAGCTTCGGAATGGGCGTCCAAGACCCTTGCATCCTCATCGCGCATCCTTGCGATACGTGTCGACCGTATACCTCGACCGTGCCGTGACGGGCCCTCGGCCGATCTCGCGGGGCGGCGAAGCCCAGAGATGCGGTTCCCGGAGGCCCCCCTATCGCCCGTCTTGTTCGAGGAGGGCCGGCCTCCCGGGGGATGCCGGCTCGGGCCGCGCCTCCCTCCGGGAGGGGTGGTGCCTTCCGATTGGCAGATTTCCCACCACCGCTACCATGAGGAGGGGAAAGAGGAGGAGGAGGAGGAGGAGGAGGCGGGCTCGCGCGGGCTGGGCGCCTCGCGCCGCGCGGCGCGGGCGAGCGCGGAGTGGGGGCCGCAGAACCGATTGCGAGAGTGGAGAAGGAGAAGGAGGAGGAGGAGGAGGAGAAGGAGGAGGAGTAGGAGGAGGACCTCCCCATCCTCCCTTCTCCCCCGTCCTACCCATGGTAGCGGTGGTGGATAGAATTGGCATCATTCTCAACCGCCATGTGCTCGCGCGTGTGTATTTGTGTGTGTGTGTGTGTGTGTGTGTGTGTGTGTGTGTGTGTGTGTATGTGTGTGGGTCTATGCCGCCGCGCTTGTCGACAGAGGAGGAAAAGGTACCCATATGGCTACCCTTCCCTCGTTTTCCCTCTTCTGGGCCTCCTCGGATGCTCTCGTCGCCACCGCTGGATTCGCCTCGGAATCCTGGTCAGAACGCACCCCAGCAGAGGTCGGTGGAGTAGCTGTATCGGTACCTTGCGATTTCCCCATGCTGGTGTCTAGTTCCTGCCTTCACGCGGCCACGCCCGCGCTGCCAGCCGCTCAGCCCTGCCGCGCCCGCCTGCCTATAGACCTCGTGAAACTGTTTGCTCCTGGCCCAATGTCTCGTCCCGGCCGCCTGGCCGCACTGTGCACCCACTTGCCTGCCTCTTGGCATGCCTCACCCTGTACCCCGCCGCCTCCGCTGCCCAGGCCCAGGCATGCGCATGGCATGGTCGATCCAGGTTGGATCCCTGCCCCATCTTCTGAGGCCCCGATCACCAAGAAGTGCATGTGTGTGTGTGTGTGTGTGTATGCAGGGACCTTGCTGCCCGCAGGCGGCAAGGCCCGCTCGCGCCTCCACCGGAGGCTCGAAGGAGCCAGGAAGGGCGGCGAGGCAGCAGCACCAGCAGCCAGGCAGGAGGAGGCGGAGGCAGGGAGCAGGAGGACGAGCGGGGAGAGGGAGCGCTCCGATGGCGCGCGCGCCCCCCTCGAGGTGGTGGGGCTGCAGGCGTACGCGGCGCACGTGCTCGTGTGCCAGCGCTGAACGGGGGCGGGGCGCGCGAGGATGCTGACGTTGAGGATGTTGGTGGCGATGACGGTGACGGTGACAATGGCGATGACGATGTGGCTGTTCATGAGGATGAATCGTATGATGTTGCTGCTGATGATGATGAGGATGGTGATGATGCTTATGCTGCTGATGATGATGATGCTGATGCTGATGCTGATGCTGATGATGCTGCTGATGATGATGATGATGATACTAATGATGATACTAATGATGATGATGATGATGATGATGATGATGATGATGATGATGATGATGATGATGATGATGATGATGATGATGGTGATGGTGATGGTGATGGTGATGGTGATGGTGATGGTGATGGTGGTGAGCATGAAGCTAATGCTGATGCTGATGATGGTGATGGTGATGTTCATGATGTTCATGGTGTTGATGATGGTGATGTATTGACGGTGCTGTTGTTGAGTTTTCATCATTGAAGAATAATTATTGTTGATCCCCCTCCGGTGACCACTGTGTTAGTTCAATTGAAGTGCTTCCCCCAGGGCTCGCACCCTGTGTTCTTATCAAGGGAAATCGCGAGGGTCAAACTGCGTTATTGGCCCCTGAACTACAACAACAACGGCTCCCGCCTGATACTTCCTCACAATGTATTCTCAAATCACGCTCTCGCGCGCGACATCCTCACAATGTATTCAGGAATCGCGGTCTTGCGTGGGACGTCCTCGCAATTTTTCTAGACGCCGCGCCCTCGACATTCAGGGGTCACGCTCTCGCTGTGGATTTCCTCATGATTGATTTGGAAATCGAGAGACTTCCTCGCGATTCATGCAGGACTCACGCTTCAGCAACCCGCCTGCTCGACCTGGCCGCCTGGGCCCTCCTTCCCGACCCGCCTAGTAGGGTCTGCCCGCCCGATCTGCCCGTCTGGTTCTGCCACGTGTTTTCTGCTCCTGGCCCATGCTCCATCGTCCTCCCTCCCCCTTGTCCTTCCTTCCATCCGTTCTCTCTTCCCATCCCTCAGGGGCTGCGCGATGCCCCCAAAGGGGTACGGTCGAGGACGAAGAGGGCGGGTATCGAGGGTTCGGGATATTCATTTTGAGTGGCACGCGAGCAGACAAGTTGGTGTTGTTATTGGTGTTGTTGAATATTCATTTCTAGAGAATAATTACGTTTGATCTCCGGAAATGGTTCCGCGTATTCTCGCCTCGACGCCGGCTACATTTTCTCTGAAAACGAGGTTCCTGCGCGAGCGTTGGCTTGAGTGTAAATGTGGGCCCTTGGAGGCCCGGCTACAACAACAACGGCTCCCGCTCGATACGTCCTCACAGTTTACCCCGAGACACCCTGGCCAGAGAGGCTCCCGAACTCAGGAACGGCATTCTCGCTCGAGACTTCCTCGCAAGTCAGTCAAGTTGGCGGAGGCCCAGCCACGACGACAGGAGCTCCTGCTCGATACTTCCTCACGACTTACTCCGAGAGCCCCTGGCCAGGAAGGCCCCCGAATTCAGGAACGGCGCTCTCGCTCGAGACTTGCTCGTGAGTCAGTCAAACAGGCGGCGGCCCAACTACGACGACAAGGACTCTCGTTCGATATTTTACCAAGATGTATTCGCAAAGGCCTTTGGCAGAGACGCCCCCGAGCTCAAGAGTGGCGCTTTCGCTTGAGACTTACTCGCAATTCAGGCAAAGTGGTGGAGGCCCAGACACAGCGACAATGGTTCCCGTTCGATATTTCTCCAGAAGTATTCCGTGAGCCCCTGGCCAGAAAGGCCCCCGAACTGAGGAACGGCGCTCTCGGTTGAGATTTCTTCGAATTTCAGTCAGTGGCCGACAAGGAAGATATCCCCCCCGAAGACGAAGTGGGCGGGTATCGAGGGTTGGGGTATACAGAATGCAAGACACGCGTGCCAGTAAGGGCGAACAGTCTTGAAAAACGGTTCTTGTTGTTGGTGTAAGTGTAAGTGTTGTCGTTGCTGCTGTTGTTGTTGTTACTGCTGTTGTTGATGATGATGATGCTGCTCATGCTGATGCTGATCGTGTTGTTATAGTTGATGTTGTTGTTGTTGTTGTTATTATTATTGTTATTCGTATTATTGTTGTTGTTGTTATTGTTGTTGTTGTTGTTGTTGTTGTTGTTGTTGTTGTTGTTGTTGTTTTTGTTACTGTTGTTTTTTGTGTTGTTGTTGTTCTTGTTGTAGTTGTTGTTGGTGATGGTGGTGTTGGTGGTGGTTGTGGTGATGCTGACAATGATGATGATGATGATGATGATGATGATGATGATGCTGATGGCGATGGTGACGGGTAGGCACATGCTGAATATGCATAGGATGATGAGGAGGACGACGAGAGGGAGAAATATGATAGCATGACCGAGGGGAGAAGGAGGCGGTGGGGGAACAGGAAGAGAGGGAGGGAGGGGCATGATGAGGTTAGGACGAGCAGTGGATGGGTCGGAGAATGGCCATGATGATAGTAGTTGTGATGACGAGCAGTAGAAACGGGAAGAGATGGATGAGTTTGTTGGAAGGACCAGGATGATGAGAAGGGCGGGTGCAGGAGGTGGAGGAGGAGCAGAAGGGAGCCGACGACGAGGAGGGGGATGGGGGGACTAGAAAGATGCGCAGCAGGCAGCGGGAGTGCCTCCCCATCGTCCCCGCGCGGGACGTGGGGGGATGCAGGAGCAGCTGCAGGCGTGGCTGCCGAAGGAGATGCTGCAGTACGGCCCGTTCATCGCCGGCGGGGCGGGGCGCAGTGGCGTCTTCTCCTCCTCGTCGTCCTCCTCTTCCTCGTCCTCCTCCTCCTCCTTCTCCTCCTCTCCTCCTCTTCCCCCCCTCTTCTCTTCCTCTTCTCCTCCTCCTATTCCGCCTCTTCCTCCTCCTCCTCCGGCTCCTCCTCCTCCTCCTCCTCCTTCTCTTGCCCAGTCGCGCAGCGAAGCTGCACCCCAGTCATCGAGCAAGATATCCCCCACCAATCGTGGGGTGAGCCCCTCGCCGATGCGGCCACGTGACGCCCCTCCCTTCGCAGGGGGCTGCGTGGGGGCGGGGGTTTCCCCTCCCCAACAACCATCGTCCTGAGGTGGTCCCTCCCCTTCTTCGTCCTCATCCCCCTCCCTCCTCCTTGTCTGCGCTACCACGTTTCACAGAGTTGTAGTGCATGCAGTTCTGATTTGTATACTACGCAATGCTGTACTTTTTCCGCCTATGTGCTGTTGAGCGCCTGGCTGCTGTCTGTCCCCAGGGCGCAGGCGAGGCAGGGCTGGGATTCCGACGTCGCGAGCGCGCATTTGAGCATGCCCCCCAGCAATCCGGATAGGGGGGGGATGCGTGCGCGTGAGGTTTATGCAACATCTCAGGGGGGAAAAGGCACAGACTCAAATCATCGCCGATTCCCAGGAAAATTAAAGGAAAACCTGGGAAGTGACGAAACTCAAAAACATCTCGAAAACTATTCGGAATCCTGGGGGTTGTGTAATTTTGGCTTGTGCGTCCCTGGGACTGATTGGAAATCCCCCTTCTTCCTCACCTCCCTGCTCCTTCCTTGCTCTGCGTCCCCAGCTCCCTGCTCCCTCCTCCCTCTGTCCTCCCTCCCTCCTCCTACCCCCTCCCGGCCCAGCCGATCCTCCCCCTGCTGCCCCCCTGCCTCCCCCTTCAGGAATGGAGCCCAGGCAGGGATGGGCGTCTCCTTTTCCCTGCCTCTGCTTGGACCTTCCTTCCCTCAGTGGGCGCCGATCCTCCTCCTCCTCCTCCTCCTCCTCCTCCTCCTCCTCCTCCTCCTCCTCCTCCTCCTCCTCCCTCTTGCGTCCCTTCTTCTTGCCCTCTTCCTCCCCCTTTCACTCCCCCGCTCGCCCACCACAATGCGCTTGTGACATCTATGAGGATGTGGGCAGTAAGAGTTTGCGAGCGTCCCAACAGCCCCTCCCTCCCACGGGTCTAGCGTGTCAGCCAAGGAGGTTTCCAGACGTCGGCACAGTGACAGGGTACTTGATTGACGTGCACTGGCAGGAAGCTCGTGCTTTGGTGGTGTCACGATGACAGGAACGTTTCAAGGTTGCGAGGAGCTTCATGTGCGCCTCCTGGGTCACGCTCATCTTCCCAGAGCGCAGCCATTCGTTTGGGGGAAAGTGAGGCATCGAGTTTGGTTATGGCCTGCAGCTCGCGAACACCCGCCCATTGGCAGCAGGAGATGCAGGCTTTACAGCTACTTTCTGTTAGCCTGCCCGCATGTCGCCGTCCATCTCAGTCGTTGTACATGCGTCTTTACCACCTCGTGTAACTCGCTCTCTCTCTCTCTCTCTTTCTATCCCCCTGTTTGTTTCTCTCTATCTCTCTCTCTCTCTCTGTCTGTCCTCTCTCTCTATCTCCTTATGTTTCTCTCTCTCTCTCTTTCCCTGTCCCCGCTTCTCTCCCCCCAGACACCCAAAATCTTGAACAAGTCAAAGCGGGATTGTTTCGTACTTATCGGCCCTTGGGGGCCCTCGCAAGGCCTCGGGACTGCAAGACAACAGCCCAGCATGCAACGTCGGTCCCAGGGGGCAGAACTTCCAGGGACCCCTGATTGAACAAGCCAATACATCGGATGTCGGGGTCTCGCCCTCACCCTTGCAATCCTTGGCAACCACTTTCATTGTTATGTGATTAGTAGATGCTGTTTTTTGTTTATAAACATAATAGGAATATACGTACATATAAGTGTTGAGGTGCACACGTCTGGTTGTTCTCTCTGTTGCAACGGGTTCGATCTCCGTTGTATCGCGTGCGGCATGTTATCTGTTTGTAGTCCACACCGTTCCACATTTCTTCGTTTCTGAGCGTTGAACCTCGAGCTGTTTTTGTCGCACTGGGGGGGGGGTCGGTCGTTCAATTTTGAACGATTCAGGCGGTGTCAGGAACCAAGGCAAGCCGACGTCTTTGCGATGTGAACTTGCGTTACCCTCGCTGTTCTTCCAGGCATGCAGTCTCTGAGCACCCTCGATTCCGCGACAAGAGCCAGGTCAGTGGGCGCCAAGTGCACACCAACACCAGTCGTGGGCAGGGCCATCTCAGCCTGGGCCCAGGATCGGTATAAACGCCCTCGTGGCATTGATCCTGGGCCCGAGGATGCAGGATGGGCCTGGCACGCTCGGTGCTGGTGTAGAATCTGCGTGCGCCGGCAAGGGGCGCTTGCGGAACGAGTGGAGCGGCCAGGTCGCGAAGTGCGTTGCCACATATCGCTCAGATTGGAAGGCTTTGCATGTCGTAGGGAATCTTTGGGTGTGCCCATGGTAGCAGTACCAAACGGTTTGATTGTGACCATGAGTTTTTGCGCGTTTGCCTTTCAGGCGATTGTGTTGTTTACTCCTGGAGCCCTTACTAAACGTATTTTTAGTACGGATTCGCAGCTACAGGGGTTCTTATTGCAGGGGTTCTTACCACATGGATCCTTGCTACCATGAGTACTTCTCGACACCAGCAATCTCAAGTGACCCCTGGCAAACGCAACCCCGTGACATTGATCACTGAGGCATTATCATCACAGGGATCATTACCCAACGAATGGGTACGGATGTGTCCTTGCTAGTCAGATGTATTCATCGATGTCTATGTATATGTATGTATACTTTGTCTCTCTATCTCTCTCTCTCTCTCTGTGTCTCGCACCCTCTCTCTCTATACACCTCTCTCTCGTTTTCGGGCAACGGATGCGCGTCATAGTGGACCTGGAATTCCCGAAAAGACTCATCGTGCTATACGCAATCGGAAATCGGGAGCTGCGTACATGGGTGGAAGGGGAGGAGAATGAGGAAGTGGCGGACGAGCAGGTCGATGAGCAGGAGGAAACAAGGGTGAAGGAGGAGGACCAGGAGGACGAGGACGAACCTCAGCAGTGGGAATTGGAGTTGGAGGAGTGAGGGGGGCAGGAGGACCATGGGGAAGGCAGAGGAGGGGAACGGATCCAGAAAAGTGGCCCGCGCTGGGGCAAGAACGCCATTCTGAACGACGGGGGAGCAGCGCGCCGATCCTAACATGAGGCCCAGGCTACAGCGGGAGCGCCACGCTGAAACACCGAAAACATTTCAGACCGGGAAGCACAGTCAGTGCGTGAAGTCAGATGTGTTGAAAGGCAGTGCGCGGAGATGGCCAGGCATCTTCTGGACAGGGTCAGGGGAGACGAGAATAGTATTCAGGATGTGTAAGGGTTGAGAAGACCCTCTAATTCCCGCGATTCTTCTGATTTTCCAGTGTCACGCAAATCATACGTTTCCAAATGGGGACCATGTGCTTTCCAATGGAACCCGCATGTGTCCACAAAGTTGAAGCACAAAACCAGTGCCGCGTCTCACACACCCCACGAGTCAAACAAACAATAGAAACAACGTGTGACAACAATCGAGTAACTCAGATTTCGAGGGTTTTCGGGAGGTTGGTGAAATCCTTGTGTGGAGGGCACGAATCGGTGGGAGGGCCCTGCAAAAGTGCGGATGCCGAAACATGAACATCGTTTTTCGGTGTCACAAGGGTGTTTGTTCATTTACTGCATGGGTGTCGCAAATTTCGTGAAACAAAACATTGGAAGCCTGTGGTTGTCATTGGAAACGTGTTAAATCCAATGGGAAACGCATTGTTCCCTGCTGCTTTGCCACACATCCAGAAGCCTTGCGCGAAGGGTAATTCCGCCTCATCCATCCTATCGGGATTATCTTGGGGCTCGT